CTTCATTGTTACAAAATTCCAAGTTTTAACAAATATCCCAAAGATTATGTACCTACAATATACATTTTTACTAAATAACGCCTATATTTGATATTTTTATTTCTTGATTCTATTTTTTGTCATGTCAACAAATGCACACTAAACTTTAATTTGAACACAAAGAACATAATGTTATTTTGAAAGATAAATATTGTAGGAATCGATTACAGACCAAACGTATCCGAAATTTATCGGACATATAATATAGATTTTAAATTATTTCGGAACCATCTATTTGATTCCTTTTTATTGTCTTGTATGTATATAATTGATCAGCGTGACGAGCTGAGTCGATTTAGCAATGTCCATCGGTCAGTGCGTCTGTCTGTATATACGCGAACTAGTCCCTCAGTCTTTGAGATATCTGTCTGAAATATTACACACGTATTTTTCTCCCCAAGAATCTGCTCATTTGTCGGAATTGCCCAATATTAGACCAGTACAGCATATGGCTGCCATACAAACTGAGCGATCAAAATCTATTTCTTGTGTGGAAACTTTGATTTGTAAAGGGTATTATAGCTTCGGTACAACCGAAGTTAACGTTTATTCCTTTTATTAAATACATACATATGTAAATATATATGTAGATGTATATAGATGCTTAATTATAGGTGTATATGCTATATATATATATGCATACATATTGCGGTTAAGTGCCGCTCATGCAGACGTGTCCATGTCTGTCGTTTGTTTGTTGGGTGTATTATTTTACCACTGGCTGTCCTGGTGGGTCGGCGCGCCCGTCTAAAGTTCGTTTTACAGCGTAGTGGGGGATAATAGCGTATGGTTTTTATACTCGGTTTATTTATTTTAAACGAAAACAATGCGAAAAACGCAGTGCGGATACTTGTGTGTCGCTTTTGTTTTAATTCCTTCATTAAATAGATTTATTTCTGTAAGCATTCCTTTCATCGCGCACGATTAACCGAACAGCGGTACACGCCCCGCCGCGGTCACCTTACGCTATAAAATCACTATTCAACTGCCCTCCATTCATGCGCTTCAACTTGGCTACAACAAAAACAAAAACGCAAAAATAGAGAAAAAGTAAAAAAACGCTATGTGCGTATTTGTGTTGCAAGGAAGTGGTAAAGTGATGTAATTGATTTTATACAGCCAGCTATACACACACGCACACTACCACACATACTTACATTAACAACAAAAACAGAAAATGAGAAGTAACAACTACTTATATTGACATAACAAAAAAAACAAGTGATAATAATGATAAAAAAGTAGATTTGCTTGAAAATAGGGAAGGGTAAAAAACTGTCGTTGCAAAGACAATATATTGCGTCGTACAGTATATAAGTCTATGTACATATATAATGTATATACATATATAAGCGCTCTTGTACACATAGTTATGACGCTAAGACTGATACTGACAGTATTGTGCAGCATACAAATATACTTTACACATATACACACATACATGTACGTACCCATTGACAATTATATTACGCCACATTAAATAAAAAAATATAAATAGTCGTAGTAGCCAATTGCCATTGTATACATACAAACATACATACACATGTATATATTTGTAATTATAATTTAATACATCTGCAGTTCGTCCTCTTTATCTCTAAAACATTTTTGGTGAAAAGTTACTAATTTGAAACATACACAAATACATGCATAAACATATATGTATGTATGTATGTATATACAAAAGACATAAGTGGACATTATTTTCACTAGATAAAGCTTAAACATTAAGTACTTGCACTTATCGAGCTTATCCTATGCTTATCATGTGACATGGTTAGTTGTTTAAAGAGAGCTGTGAGTCCCTATATTAAAAATTTCGAAGTATAAAGTTCTCCCATTTCTTTCATAACCTCTTTGATTCAATTTTTGAATGCGCAGGTGTGTAAAAAATCTAAATAATTTTTTTTTATATAATATTTTATATGTATGTACACTTGTGCTCATGCAAATAAGTCACATGAGCGATATGGTGTACAAATTCATAAACGTTGAAAAATTTCACAAAATTAAATGCATATATGTATGTATATACGTCAATTCATCGAACATTTACATTCAAAATTTTTTTATACTCAACTTTTTAAACTATTGCATAGCTTCTTTCCGCTCGCTTTGAGCGTGGGGACTGAATCAAGAAATTCCGTAACGAAAATAAAGCTAACACGATCACAAAGTATGCGCAAAATGTTTGCATACTTTTAGGCGTATTTCCGCATATATCAAGCAGCAGGGTGTTTCAAAAATAATAATATTTAGCATACAATGTTTTTAATGGCAAATAAAAATATAGAATTTAAGAAAAAATAAATTATTCAATATTCGGAGTCATAATATTAGTAACATTATTATTATTTTGGTAAATAGCTCCCCATCTTTTGGAACAGTATCTCGTTTGACTTGAACAAAACAATTGAAATTAGGTATTTCAATCGAATTATCAATGGTAATAAATTTCCACTTATTTTGGCTGGCTATTTCAACATCAACTTCGCTGATAAAATATCAGAGCAGTTGACAACTTTTCTTTCGGAAAAATTGAACTTGAAAATGAATAATGATCCAAAAGACTCCACAACATAATATGGGACCACCATTTTCCAGATATTTAGAGGATATCAAGTCTCAAACTTATGTTTCTTATTTCAATTACCATAAACCTATAGTTTCAATGATAAAAATTCCTGAATAATCTAAATGTATTTTAAGATAATAAAAATATTTTAAACAATATTAGCTTTTCATTTATTCAATAAAAGAAAACAATTTGTTTTCTTATCGATCACCCAGCTCAAAAAGTGTAACTTAAATTAATATCAAAGAAAAAAAATACTGCATACAAAATAAATAAATAATTATAATTGCATAAGTTGATAGAAAATGCTATGTTATAGCTATACCGCGACAGTCCCCGAGTGCCACACGAACTTTTTTTGTGTCCTTTGAGACAAAATATTGGACACGTCTTTGTATACTCTTGCAACATGTTGCTACATAGTATAATAGTTTTGTTCATATATATATATATATATATTGTGTATAAATAATCAGGATGACAAGATGAGTTGAAATCCGGGTGACTATCTGTCCGTCCGTCTGTGCAAGCTGTAACTTGAGTAAAAATTGAGAAACATGCTCACATGTTTCTTGGCATTATAAGAAGCTTGGTATTGTAGCTGGGCTCAGTCGGACCGCTACCACACCCATAAAAAGCCATTAAACGAAAACGTATAAAGTGCCATAACTAAGCACTAAATTAAGAGATGATTGCAGTAGCAAGGGGCACCTGTGGGCTAAAAATTTAAAAAAAATTGACGTGGCCCCGCCTTCTGAAAGGTTTAATGTAACATTCATATCTTCCAAACCATGCAAGCTTAAATAACCAAATTCGCTAATTACAAATCTCTTAAGCACCCCTACCGACCCTGTGAGAATGGATGAAATCTGATGATAGCCCTGCTTACTCCCCATACAACGGTACCGTTAAAAACTATTTAAATCGTGATAAATTAATGACTACCAACGCCAATCCATTTTACCTCCTATATTTGACCTTTAGTTGACTTTTTACCGAAAATATGAGTCAATGTGTGGGATATATAGTTGAAATCTAGAGAGGATCCGTTTTTGATAATAGTATGTCTGTATGTCACAATAGGTTGAATGTGGTCAATACTTCCCTTATAAGTAACTACTTGTTTATAAAATCGTACCTTTTTTACCCTGAAAAGAAATCGTAAAGAATAGGCTTATACGCAAACGTTTAAAGGTACTTGTTTCAAAAGTTGAAATTTTTAAAATTCCTAGCTCCAAAATTTTTCGTATTGAGTAAAAATAAAAACTACGTGTACAATATTTTGCCTCAAAGAACACAAAAAAAAATTTTTGTACAAAAAAAATTTTTTTATGTAAATTTTTGATGGAATGATCCATATAATTTATATATATATTTTAATAATCTAATTAAATATTAGTTATTATTGTTGTAATTACTATTTCTGGAATGTTGATCAAACAGTTTAGAATTTTCTTACGTTTGTTTAGTAGATTAAATTATTGTAAAAATATTCAAAATAGAGATTTAATTGAGAGGAACTGGTTACTTAGGCACTAAAAGCGTTAGCGTCTCGACAGGCAATATGAAACGCCGAGCGTTTTGAGTTCTCAACTTGTGAGTAACACCAATTATCGAATTTTCTCAGAGCGAAAAACCCAAACGGACAAGCCTTTATATTATATTCGAGTTAATTGGTCATTTGATGATCAATATTAACTACTAACAAATACAAGTTGACCTTGGCGGTACCAATATAATACCTGTTGGAAAATACCTACCAAAATTATTAAAGTTGTAGTACCGGTAGGCAGTTTAAATAGGGCTATGTAATTTTACCATAGTAAATGTCTGTCAATAATAATACTATTATCTTATCTTCATTTCCATTTCTTTTATTGTTCACTCACAAGAAACCCATTTATTCGCAATATGTAGGCTCCAGTTCCATTAACAACCTACGTAAAGTTGAATCTATGGTCATACATGTTTTTATTCGTACATCAATTTATTTGCGATTAGAATACTAGAAAATTTTCAGGGTTTCAACGTGTTTAGAGTTATTCTTCATACTGCACTTTGTCCACAAAGATTTATTGTCTAATTTCTTTCTTAAAAGAGTATCTGAATATACATTTCTAATAGTCACCATAGCTATATGTATGTAGGGTCTTAATATTCTTATTTTTGTAATATTTCTCTAAAAAAATTAAGAATTTGACACTGTGTATGTGTATGAGAGAGATTTGCGTGATTTTGTATCTAATAGTCATAAAAGCAAGTATAATTTTACAAAAACTCTTACGGTGGTCTTCGTTCCATTAAATAATAATAATACTAATTTCCCCTACGAAACGTTTTAAATGCTTTTATTGTGAACAAATTATTAATTAATCAACTTTTTTAGGAATTTCTACTTGCTATAGACGTAACATCGAGTGGCACTCCCGAGGAGAAGCTCAAATGGGCTTTCCGCATGTACGACGTAGATGGTAATGGCGTAATTGACATACAAGAAATGACGAAAATTGTTCAGGTAGTAAATATTTCATCGTACACATATCACTTAGTGATATGTAGAAGTATGTATGTATGTATTTATGTGCAATTACACATTTTTATTTGATTTTACTTTTGATGTGAAGCAGTTATTTAAATTTACCATTGGAATAGCACTACTAAAGCGTGTTTCATGAAGTGGTTTTAGTTTTTTTTTATTAAAAAAATTACAGTATCTAATTCCCACATGAATAATTTAGAAATTCGTAATGCAGCGTGGGTTCAAAACTGGTATATGTTTTCAGAATTAAATTTGACAGGAGAAAGTAGATAATACAGTTTTTTAGATGTTTATGAATTAAGTTTAAAGTTAAATATTTTAATTTTTTTTTATCGTACTCGAATAAAATTATTATCTGAAGATGTTATATATAATTATGCAGAGAAACTCGTTCTGAAAATATAGATAACATACAAATTTCCAAATAAGCAACGCTTTTTAAACATTTTACTGTCTCCGATTTATATTCATTGCGTAATTTTAATAACATCGTACAAATCTCGAAACATCTAGTATAAGAATAATTTATGCTTAAAATTAAAAAAAAATGTACTCATAGTTTTTATTTATGTTCTTATCTCTGCACTGTTTTTGATGTTTATGATAATGATAATTGATGAAAATATTAATTTATGTTTACATACAATACAAACATACATTTGTCACTAATTTGTAGACAAAATTTATGCTTTAATTACCTACGCGCGTTGTGTGCGTTATGTTCTTTTCCACTTCTTGCAGGCCATATACGATATGCTTGGCGCGTGTTCATCGAATCGACCAGCAGATTCTGCTGAGGAGCGCGCAAAAAATATTTTCGCAAAAATGGACGAAAACAATGATGGTCAATTAACTCAAGATGAATTCTTGAAAGGGTGTCTGCAAGATGAGGAACTTTCAAAAATGTTGGCCCCATAAACATCGTTCAACACAAATCCCCCGAAAAAAACCAAAGAACAAACCAAACAAAATAAAAAATAAAAAAAATAAAAATTAAAAGAACAACCAAATGAAATGACCCATTGTGGTTTATGTAATTTATTGAATCATTTATATCATAAAATTTATAAATTTACATTTCCTAAAATGAATACTAAGGCATCTACTAAAAATTAACACTGTGTTTCAATGTTTTCACACATGCATATACATATACATACATAGTTGTATGTACTATACATATGTATGCAAGTATTTGTATGTATGTATGCCTAGTGCAAAAAATTATTTTATTAGTTATTTATTTGATTAATTTACCTTGTTTAAGTTAAACACAAACATACTATGTATGAGGCGTAAGTATGTATGTGTTTGCGTCGTTTTAAAAATGTTTAATAATTAATTTTTTTCTTGTTTTTTTATTGTAATACATAGCGTTTCTCGTTTCGTACCATTTGAATTTTTATTATTATTTTTTTTCTGAATTTTTTTACTATTTAAATTTTTTTGCTGCTAAATCTATAAAGAAATTACTTACACTCTGTCGTTTTGGTTACACTTTATTTTACAACATATTACTCAGTTTAAGTTTGAAATGCATTAATAATTTGTAGAAATTTGCGGTATTAGCTTTTGAGTTTCTTACATTTTAGTCTCGCAGAGTAAACAGATGAGTGTTCTTGCATTTAAATAACAAAATATATTTTTATTATGAATAATATATATGTACTTGAGTGCGTTTAGCTATATAATCAATAATAAAATATAAAAACAATAACAACAGCGCGAATTATAAACAATATTTGCATTACAAGTTTTATAATTTTGTACGATTTTTTCTTTGAATTATAGCGTTTTTGTTTGGAAAATGATTTGTTCTGCGGTTGAGTGCACTTTAGGGAACAGAAATAACTAAGCAAACAAAAACGCAAAATAATTTGTTTCACAAATTCCGCACAAGTCATTGTGTTTGTTTCGTATGTGACTGCAGAAAAACACAATAATAGCTATTTTTAAGGCAAAAGAAAACAAAAAAAAAAGTGCTTTGATTAGACTCATAGTGGATATGGCTGTTCACGCAGGTGAAGAAAAATTATATTTAAACTAAAAGTGAAAAGTATATATATGTAGGATGTATGCAGTTATTTGGCTGTTTTTTTTTCTTCTTTCAAAGCATAAAGAAACATTTTTATCAAAAAAGGTATTCAGTCGATTTTTTAAAAACTATATAAAATCCTTCGAAATTATTATACTAATAAGCTAAGATTAGTTTTTTACAGTCAATATATACATGACAACTTTATATTAGTAAGCTAACAACAAAAACTTAGTTAAGGCGTTTGTTGGCTATCAAGCCGCTTTCTTATGCTATTTGAAATTTTCGCCGTTTAATAATATTGTAGCGATTTTACCACTTTTCGCATATCCGTTCAAGCAACAGCTCAAGCACATAAATAACATTTGTATTGTTCGAATTCGTAGCGCACACGCTCAAAATGAAATGCGAATGCAACATAAACGGTAACAAATTTTAAGTTTTGTAGTTTTTAGCTTTTATTTTAACATTTTTGAATTTATTTAAACCACATTAAATGTTTAAAAATTAATGAGTTTTTATATTTTACAGAGAAATCAAAGCATGAGTAATCAAAATGGGAAAGCAAAACAGTAAATTGAAGCCAGAAGTCTTAGAGGACCTCAAACAAAACACAGAATTCACAGGTAATGAATGTGAAATTATATTAGAAAAAATATGTTAATTTTATGAGATTGTAAAATGTAAGGGTGTTGGCTGAGAGGATACTTTTAACTGTTGATTGTTACTCGGTAACGATTTAATAAGCAGTATTTACTTTTTTATACTCGGTATCAATATATTTTATAAGAAAAACGCGCAAGAACAAAAAATATGAAAGCAAGAAAAAAGTTAACTTCGGCTGCACCTATAAATCCTTCACAGGTACAAAATTGTTTGAAAAAATATCTTTATCTTGATTTTGATCGATCAGTTTAAATGGCAGCTATATGCTATAGTGGTCCGATATAAACAATTTCTACTGAGGTTGTAGCGTTGCCTTAACAAATAAAAGCAAAAAGTTTTCGAAACAAAGCCTTGAGTTTCGGTCAGTTTGTATGTATATGCTATAATGATGCGATATAAACAATTTGTTCGAAGTTTATAGCGATGTCTCTATACCAAATTTCATGAAAATATCTTGTGAACTTAAAATAATTTATATACGGGGGCTTGAGCTTGATTAGTCAACTTGTATGATAGCAATAACTTATAGTGGTCCGATATTAGCCGTTCCGACAAATGAGCAGTTTCTTGGGAAGAAAATATGGCGTGAAGATTTCATAGCGATATCACAAAAACTGAGCGATTATGATCATTATATATATAATATTTTTAAAATACCTATCTATTTTCGTTACAGATGCAGAAATTCAAGAATGGTATAAAGGATTTTTAAAGGATTGCCCCAGTGGGCATCTCTCCGTTGAGGAGTTCAAAAAAATATATGGGAATTTTTTTCCGTACGGTGACGCAAGTAAGGTAAGCATAAAAGTCATACTAAATTATATTTTTGATAATACCTACCATATTTTAGAATGTTTCAATAAAACTGTTGTAATTTAATTTCCAGTTTGCTGAGCACGTATTTCGTACATTCGATGCCAACGGAGATGGCACAATCGACTTTAGAGAGTTTCTATGCGCGCTGAGCGTAACATCACGCGGTAAATTAGAACAGAAATTAAAATGGGCGTTCTCGATGTATGATCTAGATGGAAATGGTTACATTTCCCGACAAGAAATGTTGGAAATCGTCACGGTTAGTGCGAATTCAATTAATTTTATGCATTTCTTATATAAATGCATACTCCTTTTTGCTTTCGATATACCATATTTACTTATATATTTGATATTTTTTTCTTTAATTTCGCAGGCAATTTATAAAATGGTTGGTTCAGTTATGAAAATGCCGGAAGACGAGAGTACGCCAGAGAAACGAACGGATAAAATATTTAGACAGATGGATCGAAATAAAGACGGTAAATTAAGCCTCGAAGAGTTCATTGAAGGGGCGAAGAGCGATCCGTCAATCGTTCGCTTATTACAATGTGATCCTCAAACACATTAACTTTTATATATATAAAAAGTTATAACAAGCAATAAACAATTAATCTCAAATACATGAAAAATAATAAAGTTAAACTTGAAGTGAATTAAAATGCTTTTTGAAATGCTCATGGATTGAAGGTTGATTGAAGTGGTGGAATTATTTGAATTGGTAGTTGTTAATTGTAAACGCCTGCTAAGAAGTACTTCGATTCCAGACCTGTACTAGATAGATACTTATGTTACGGAGAGCTTAATTAAGTTTAATTAATGATATCTAAATTATTAATTTTATCCGTCAAGAGGGAATGACTCAGTCCGTTAACAGAGAAGTGATCTGATCTCGTAAATAGTCACCAGTTACTGCGTGATAAGATGATCTTAGGGTGCCGTTGTTGGGTTTTTAACCGGACACTGCGGCATATAAATAAAAAAAAACTTGTCGGATGCCATATGGCCAAATTGTCTGGAGAAAGGCGAGGTTAAGCATCTCGTCACTCTCTTCTCGACTATTTAATTATTTGTTTTTTTTTGTTAGACTAATGTTGAAACATCTTTTATGTCATATTTTCAGTGAACGTAATAAATTCGATAGTAGACGACAACAGATATGTGTGCTCAAAGAACTTCGTCGACACATGAACCTAACTGAAGGATGCTGAAAAGTTTATCCTTTATTGAAGTTTATACGAACGTATACATAAATAAACATGCAGTATCTATATGTATGTATGCATACATATATTTTCTAACAAGTTTGTAATGGTGAAATACCCGTATCAAATTATCGAACATCTTTGTCATATCACAGAAAGTCGAGTCAGCCTGTCCGTCAGCGTTATCATGACGACACATGAATTTGGTTTTGTGTTACTTGTATTTATTACGATTAGCTAGAAAAAACTGAAAACAAAGTTTAGAATATTATTATCAACAAAAACATACATTTTTGTAACAAGTTTTTACATCCAAGTGAGGCGCGCTGTTGCAACGTTATTCGAATTCCTTATGTGATAAAATATGGCTCTATCCAGCATATTTTCCATACTAAGGTAATTTGCCTTACACTGATATTAGGTATAGCGACTAACGTCAGTATAGTGGCCGCCAGGCAACCTTATACCAAAATTTGCATTATGCACGGCTACTATTTATTATATTATATAGATATTTCAAAATCAGGCAATTGGTGAAGATTATTTTGCGAGTTTTGGAGTTTAAATACATTATATTTCTTCAATAGTCCGGTCAAATTAGACAAAAAGGAGTGAAGTTACATAAATTTACAACAAGCTGAAAGTTAGTGAATATGTTCAAAATATGTTTAAAAATATCATAATAAAACGCCGTTTAAAAATAAATAAAAGATGGGTGATAAAAAAAAGGAATTTTGTTTTTCGCCTGGTACATACTCTGTAAAATTTGTTGGTCGACACCTCTAGAAGTCTCTCCAAGTGTGAGCTCTTAATTGTAACGGGAAGATCCTCCATTTTATTCCGTTATCTATTTTTTTCTTATTATCAGAATAATTCATATCTCGCTTCCGACTACACTCTTACCTCGCTTAATGGCCTAGATATGTTCCACGAAACTTGGCCGTAAAGCGAAAAGCCGTATAAGGAATCAATTATTTCAATACAAATTCATTTAATGAGATCGGTTCCAAATTTGTTAAATATGTAACAAATACATATTGTACGTATTTATATATACATAAAACTAAATATAAGACTCCAAAATTCAGCAATAATCAAAACAAAAGTGAAACAACTTCATGTTATATAAAATATGGATATCTATACAAACATAATTTTTTTAAATGATTTTAATCTGAAGATGATGATGAAATGGTAAGCAGCAGATTACAGTCATCATAATTTTTCGCTGATAAGGATGGACCTGACATTAAATTTTTTAAATTCTTGTCCTATTGTCTATTTTGTTTTTGAGAGATTTATAACAGCTAATGGCTTTGTTAATTCCTCGAGAAACTATAGCACCAAGTTCCACGTCAGGATCGTTCTCAAGGAGAATTTTCATTCTTTGTTATAAATAGGAAAAAAGCTTTCGATACATTTTTGATGTTATCAGTTACAAAAGGCTCTGTCTCTTCATCAAATGGCGGTTCTGTTTGCAGCTGAATGAGCTCCTCATATGAAAGGGATTCTCCATCTGCTTCAAGTAGATCAAGCGCATCACGTTCCTTAAAATCTTCAAAGATGCAATCATGTGCTAGATCCAAACTATTTTGCTTAATTTCAGCGAATATTTTTTGCTGTCATGTATTAAATTTAATGTTTTAAGTTATTTTATTACGATACAGTTAAGGCTTTTATGATCTAATATATTTATTCCTTTTTATAGTAAAATAAATAAAAAGGAATAAAAAAAACGAAAAGCCGGTTAAATGAAAGGATAAAATAAAATTCTCAAATTTAAGGTTACAGAGTTCTTACTGGATATGTTTACTGTCAAGCTCACATCGATAAAAAATTGTTTGGCCGTTATAGTGAAACATTTGAGGCCGTGTATCGAAAATGTGCCTTAGTTCAAAAAGGCCGTTATTGCAAAATGCCGTATAACGAGCGGCAGTATAGGGAGGTAAGAGTATACTTGAAAAATTTTTTCGTTTCATAGGTTTTGCAGAAAATTTAATGTCAATAGCGATTTTTTTTGTAAACTTAACCATTTAAAAGATATTAACTTTAACGTTAGATTATTTTAAGGCAAATTTGTTTTTTCTTTTCAATTTTACAACTCAATGAAAAAAATCATTATATTGTATAAATAGGAAAGCTTATATGGTAGTCTCGTAGGAAATTTACTGCTCTACAGAGAGAGACTTTTTTATATACCACTGCCACTCAACTAACATATAAAATTGTAATTTGGTACGAGGGATCGCAGTAGAAATGGTATTTGTGGGCTAAACATTTTGAAAGTGGCCCCGCCCTTTAAGAGGTTTAATACGTATATATATATATATACTTATCTCTTAAACCACTTAAGATACAATAACCAAATTCGCTCCAAGACAAATTAAGAACCCCTACCTACACTGTAAAAATGGATGAAATCGGATGATAACACCGCCTATCCTCCCATATAACGGTTCTGTTAAAAACTACTTAAAGCGTGATAAATCAATAACTAAATGCGTCAAAGACATTAAATTTTACACCCGACATGCTACGAAAGGCTCAAAATAAGACGATGGACCACATATAACTAATATCACGATTTTCGAATGTCCGGCTGACTTTACTCCATATAAATTGGTGATGCTAAGTGTACTTTAATGAAACTCTGGGAGCATATTGTTAGTATATGTCACGTTATTAGTATGTGGTATTGCCAAAAATAGTTAAAATGTGTGAATATATCCCTTATACTCCATATACCTAATATACAATTTTCAAACTTCTGATTGATCATATACTGAACTACCCCACCCCCATATACTACATATAATGATTTTCCTTTTCTTTTTCGTCTAAGCCTAATGACGAATATGTCATTCAGTGTGTGACTTATATACTTGAAAATTCAGGTATTCTTGAAAATATGTTCTCAAGTATACCTGAACAATGTCCAAATTAATGCAATCAGCTCGTCCCTTTCTCTGCCACCAATATAGCAATGATTTCGGACTTTCCACCTGACTTTAGAGTACAAGTTGGTTAAAATTTGTGATATTTTAATGAAATTAAATAGCAATAAAAGTGTGTCTATCACCTATTATATAAATTAATAAAATACCAAATTTGATTGTAATCGTTTTTTTGACCCACCCAAATGCATACTTTATATTTTATTTATTTGTAAACGCTTCCCTTGAATATTTTACGAAAGTTTATTTTCGAAAACTGTTATCCTTTAAATATATTGCGAAAATATATTTTTCTAATTATATTGACTTTTTTTTTATAATTGTTTGTGTGTTTAAAATGTGTAATGATGCATTATTTTGATTAAGCTAATATTTATAATTGTAATAATTAATAAATAATTTTTCAGATTTCTTAAAATTGTCAATATTAATCAACTTTAGGATGAAGTTTGAAAAAAGATTTTTTTTTCAAATATAAGGTTGTATATTATTGGCTGTGCATAAAAGGTTGGAAAAATGCATTTCAATGAACATAAAGTAAGTTACACCACATAGTAAATCTTTCTCTTTTGCATATATCTTTTTTATTTTAAAACTCTTTGAATTATCAAACCTCCAGCGTACTACCATGAACCTCTTTTAAAACAAAATAAAGAAAAAGTTTAATCCACTGCATAGCATGCAACATATATGTATGTACATAAAAAAGTCATACAGTGTTCACCAAAAATATGCTGGCACATGCTTCATTGCATCTGGTACTTCAATGGGGTTTTGCAATTTTCAACCAAACACTACAAACTCGTGTACATAGATTCCTTTGCATGCCGACATACAACCAATGTAATGCGCAATGTGTGAGAACATTGCGTTCAAAAGTTTAATATTATCGGGTACTTGCCAAGCGTAATTAATCAATGCTCATTGCACTGCACTAAATTAAATACGTGTATTTGCCTTTAAATCTAAAAGTGTTTTTTGCAAAGGTATTAATTGGCGTAGTTGTTGTCTACTTGACGCTGATTGGTTAATCATTACAAATAAAATGCGATAAAACCTTCGCCTCAGTAATTGGTTAGGCTTCCAATTTCTAAATTAACTTTCTCGATTGCAGTGTTTTTTGTATACCTCTTCAATCAACATCAACCTCTTAAAGGTATCAATTAATAGTTGAACATTTGAAGCGATTAGAAAATTCAATTGTGCATTTGTTGAGATTTCGCACGCATGCTAATAAAATAATATATACATAATATAATACATTGTATATCAAATAATATTTGTATGCAAAGTTTATTTAAAAATATTTATTTTTACTAAAAAGTGCTACGCTTTCCGATATTATTTTAAGTTAAATTATTTTGAAAAAAAAAATTATTTATAAATTAATTTGGGGTTATTGTGCAACATCAAGCATATTTTAAGGTTATTATTTCAGTTGTTTTATCTGTTGAAATCTGTTTGAGAGCTGTAAGTGGTCCACACGAACGAAATGTGATAAGCTCTTGCCATATTTGGCGCAAACAAGTTGCATAATTGCAGCTAGCAGTGTTGCAGTGGTGTGCGAGGCGCCAAAAAAGCGTAAAAACAAATCGTAATGAATATAAAGGAAATTGAAAGAATTTGGCGTGAACTTAGTTAATTTTGTTAACATATTGACATTGAAGCAATCAACAGGCAAATAAGGCGCTTATTGTATTTATTTAGTTTTCGTGACGATTACATAACTTGAATTGATAACTTTAATAGTATTGGCGCAAGGTATTTAAGAAGTTAAAGTAAATAATAAAGAAAATAAATAATTTTGTGCGAACTTGTTACAAATAAACCGTTTCAGTATTAATAGCTGTTTAATATATTTTTTTTATTCAAAGTTTAATATTTACAAGTAAAATTCAAAAATACTTTGTGGCGTTTGAAATATTTAATTTTATATAAATAGTTTAAATTTTTGTTTTTTTTATTTAAATTAAAAAAAGCTTGCAGTTAACGAAAACATAATAATTTTTTAAAAATTTTATTTATAATATTTAATTACAAAATAAATTTTTAAACAAATGCTGTCTCAATTTAACTAAGTTTATTTCTGTGTTCATACATAACGTTGGCTTAGAATTAATTGTCAGAGTAAACGATCACACTATTGTTGCCGTTTAATATGCGAAAGCGCTTTTGGACAACGGAACAATGTCAGTTTTCAAAAATTAAATTTTTCCATGAATTTTGTTGAGTTTCAGCAACAAAAAATATATTTATAAAAAGTAATATAATGAAATACAATTTTCTATAAATTTTCTATAAACCAAGTAATACTTATCTTGATAGAAGCTCACAATAAAATTAAGGCCAGCTCGAACTCTCTTATAGCTAACTATAATCACAGAAGACTGTGAAAAAACAATTAACATTAGAGGAGCGAGTGTGATACTATTGTTGTAAAATGTTTAAAATGAAAAAAAAAGAATACTACAAAAATTAACTTTACAAAATTGCTTAAGTAAACTACACATATGTCTACATATACACTATACAGCACGTAATCAAAAACCCAAATGCCACAAAGAATTAAAAGTAGTCCACCATATGGCATAATAGCTAGCGTTCAAACAGGAAAAAGGTCAAAAAGACTATATATTGAGGCGCTGGAAGGTTACATTTTTGCACAAAAATAATATAACTTATTATTTACCATATATATGGATATATGCATCTACAACTGAAGATCGTAAATGTTTCAAAATGAGAAATATTTGCCTCGCTTTAAATAAAACTCGGATCAAAACTTTCACAAAGCCGATAAACATGTATTATTTACTTACTAACGTTTTTCTCAGCATATCAAATTTTTTTTTAAACATTATTGTTAGAAGTTTGAAATGCCTTCTTCAGGTTTGGCATACTATGTAGAGGTTTTTCTGAAGCCTGAAATAATATTTACTATAATCGAGTTGTAAAATATTAGATAGGGGTAAATATAGACAGAATAGCAACCTTTTATATCACTTCAAGGAGGCATCTCTATACTCTTTTTATACTGGTAACCAGTGATTTAATGTTCGTCATAACATATTGCATATTTGCTTACATAATTTTATTCTACATAATCTTCTCTATTATTTCTGAAAATACTCTGTGTTCAGAAGAAGAATTATATACAGAACATGCTGAAAAAATTTGATAGTGATCGAATCATTTGTCTCCAAGTAATTGACAAGATATTGTTACTTTCATATGCTACATTTCATTTATTCTTTACTCTAACTTCATTCACTCATTACTCATGCCGTACCTAAAATTTTCGATTTAACTTTAGTTTTGCATATAGGATTGTATCTAGATACTTTATTTCTCTTTTTAGATTTGAGGCAGCTGAGAAAATATTAAAATTAAAATTCGAAAACCTAACCAATTTCACTTTTAACTAGTACCAACCTTTTAACTAGTGAACTTTAAAATAATTCAAGTAGTTGCTTCCTTTTTTTCTTACATATCTTCCAAGTAAACTCGTATAATGGCTGATGAGGAGGATCCATGGGGTTTCGATGAGGGTGATAGTGAGCCAGTCGCTGCCGCTGCCCCTACTCCTGCAGCTGCAGCTGCCACTCCCACTGCCGCAGATGCAGGTGCTACCCCTGCCACGGGTGGTGGGCAGAGCACCCCCGCTGGAGAAGAACCTGAAGCAGCTGCCGCCGAAGAAGAATCGGCACCACCACCACCGCCACCAGAAGACGATGGCTACCGAAAGCCCGTGCAATTATATCGCCACTGGGTGAGGTAAGTTGAGAAAGGATCAACATTGGTTTTAATGAATTTCATTTTGGTGCTTAATAGTTAGATCTCACCAACAAACGTTTATTGATCATTTATTTTCCAGGCCACAATTCTTGCAGTATAAATACATGTATAACTACAGAACAAACTACTATGATGACGTAATTGATTACTTGGATAAGAAGCAGGTTGGCGTTTCAAGGGAAATACCGCGCGCACAAACTTGGGCCGAACGCGTGCTAAGAACAAACAACGCTAGGTAAGATATTGCAATCGGCTAACTAGTTAGACAGCCGTTAGACGAAGTTGTTTTCCATACATTTTATATATTTGGCTTTGTTTTTGTTTCGTCAACAGTGGACGCGACCTTGACTCATACACATGTTCAAGCAAAAGGGATAAGCAACTTGTTCAAACTCTGGCTGCCTCAATTCGTACTCATAATTATCACACCAAAGCTTATATTAACCAAAAATATGCAAATGTTCTATAAATAAATACAATACCTATCTATAAATATGAATACCAACTAAAAAGTTAGTTAAAATTGTAGTACAATTTAATTATAAGGAGATGATTACCTAATTACGTTACAATAAAATATAAAGTGGGAGCTTGTCGCTATAATACTCTTTTGATAGACGACATATTTTTTATTTCACACCACGATTTGTATGTAAGTACGACCGTAATTCTATACTAGTGCAACACTATTGTTGACACGTCAAATCTGACGCATAAGCTGATGACGCTGTCATAAAACAACTGTAAAAGTTTACATGAGAACAACGGCATTATGCCTTCGTCAATATACATTTCTTTACCTTGTTCAATAATCAACGTAAAATTTCGTGAAGATAATTTGTCAGATAAAAAAGTCTTCTATACAAGAACTTGATTTTGATCGGTCAGTTTGAATGGAAATATACTATAGTGGTCTGATATCGGCGGACAAAGCTTTTTGGGCAGAATTAAAAAATTTAAGATCGATATCTTAAAAACAGATGAAGTAGTTCGCCTATATACAGATAGAGAGGCGTACAGACTCGTCGTACTAACCATGTATATATACATATGTAGTTTATAGAATCTCTGACGTTTCCTTCTGGTGCTACAAACTTCGTGGCAAACTTAATATCCTCTGCTCAAGGTATCATAATTTGCTAGATTCCAACTAGTTACCATAAACCTACATATATTCGAATGTAAGAATTGGGTGTAGTCAATGCCTACAAACGTTTCTACTTCAAGTGTGGGTGCATCGTGTATGTACCTATAATATATGTTATGTTCATACTCGTTCGGTTTATCCTATCCCTTTCAACATTCATACAAGTATGTGTGTGTTTTTCATTATTTTCTATGCTCTTTTCTATTTAAAAGGTTTAAAAGTTAATAATTCTTACATTAGAGACGATACACAGGGTGATATCTAATAGAAGTATTTCCAATTTACCATGGCAGATGTTGACGATTTTTGCAGGTGATGATATATCGATTACAATAATATCATCTCTATCAACAGTGGACATATTATTTGAAGATACCGTAGATATATTTTCTTGATGCTTTGCAATATTTTCCTTGCACTTATGGTGTACAACTAGATGTTATCCAACAAATGTACTGCCTTCCAGACATAAGCTTGACATTGGTTACCAAGTGATTGACATTTTTATACTCTCGCAACCTGTTGCTACAGAGTATAATAGTTTTGTTCACCTAACGGTTGTTTGAATCACCTAAAACTAATCGAGTTAGATATAGGGTTATATATATATAAATGATCAGGATGAAGAGACGAGTGGAAATCCGGGTGACTGTCTGTCCGTCCGTCCGTCCGTGCAAGCTCTAACTTGAGTAAAAATTGAGATATCTTTTTGAAACTTGGTAGACATATTTCTTGGTACCGTGAGACGGTTGGTATTGCAGATGGGCGTAATCGGACCACTGCCACGTCCACAAAACGCCATTAATCAAAAACAAATAACTTGCCATAACTATGCTCCGCAATAAGATACAAGACTGTTATTTGGTACACAGGATCACATTAGGAAGGGGCATCTGCAGTTAAAACTTTTTTTTAAAAAGTGGGCGTGGTCCCGCCTCTAATAGGTTTAATGTGCAAATCTCCTAAACCGGTAATGCTATTATAACAAAATTACCTAGAACCAAATGTTTTTAGCACTTCTATTGACGGTGTGAAAATAGTTGAAATCGGGTGGCAACTCCGCCCACTCCCCATATAACGGTAATGTTAAAAACTACTAAAAGCGCGATAAATCAAGCACTAAACACGCCAGAGACATTAAATTTTATCTCTGAGATGGTATAAATTGGGTTTATAGGAACCGCGTTCAAAATTAGTCAGTGGGCGTGGCACAGCCCACTTTTAGGTGAAAACCCATATCTTGAGATCTGCTCAACCGATTTCAACCAAATTCGGTGCATAACGTTCTTTTCATGTTTCTATGTTATAGTGCGAAAATGGGCGAAATCGGACTACAACCACGCTTACTTCCCATGTAACACCATTTTCAATTCCATCTGATTCTTTCACTTTCCACTATGCAAATCAGGTAACAATGATTATACCGGGGTAAAACTTTGAGTGAATAATGCAATTAAAGTATGCCACCTTGCGGCCAAAAATTGTCTAAATCGAACCAAAACTGTTCAAACCCCTAAGTACTAAATATGTGGACCCCAGTGCCTATAGTTGACCTTCTACCGAAAATATCAGTCAATCCACAAAGAAATCTCAAACGAGTTTACCATTTGACTTTGCGAGAGTATAAAATGTTCGGTTACATCCGAACTTAGCCCTTCCTTACTTGTTATATAATACTAATGGCATCATTAGGAATAATATGTATATTATATATTGTTTGGACAACTTCTTGCCCTATTTCTTTCTTGGGTTGGATAATATCGTCAAATGAATATCCCTCCGAACTCTTGATGGAATTTTTTATTGCGTTTTTCATGACAGCATAAATTGCTTCGTGGTTTCCTACCGTGGGCTGTCCCCAGTTCAAAATTATTCTGACAGACAGTAATTTGTAATTGCTAATCCCAGAAATCGATGTGTCATCTTGTGGCTTCTTTTTCATGTATAGAGATTTCTATAAGAGCTCATACTCTCCTTCGCCGATTTGAGGTGGAAGCTTTATTTCTAGCTTCTTGGTACAAAACTATAATTTTTTCTATAGAAGAAATCATTCTTTTACACTTCGGGCTGTATACGCTGGAATATTCTGTGAAACGGTCAATAAGGTTGATAGTATTTTGTTAGTGCAAAACATAGCATTTTTGGTTAATGCGAAACTTCAAAGAAATGATAAATTAAACAAGCTAGGAAGGGCCAAGTTCGGGTGTAACCAAACATTTTATACTCTTGGAATTTGCAAGGATCAAAGCCTGGGAAACTTTTTCAGGTGTTGACAAAACTTTATATTAAACTAGGGAAATCATCGTTGTGATTTTATCCATTTGATATGAGAGGGTAGACTGTTATTAGAAATAGATTATTTCTGAATTTCATTTAGATTTTTACTTATTGACCGATAGATGCTGTATTAAGTAAACCGGAAGTTCGAAGATATTTATGTTAGGTATATGGGCCTAAAAGAACTGGTATATGGGGCTGATATTTTATTGATGTTTGATTTGTATACTGTAAAGTGAAAGAATCAGATGGAACTTAAAAGTTTGTTATATAAGAGCAGGCCGTTATATAAGGGGTTGGCATGGTTATTATCTGTGTATCATCGTGCTTAGCTATGGCACTATAAAGGTTTTTGTTTAATGGAGTGGCTATCGACCGATTCCGCCCATCTGCAATACAAACATCCCTTGGGTGCCGAGCAATATATGTACATATGTACCAAGTTTCATCACAATATCTAAAATTTTACCCAAATTATCGCTTGGACGGACAGACAGTCACTCAGAATTCAACTCGTCTCGTCATTCTAATCATTCACATATATTATAAGTATATACATAACTCCATATCTATCTCGATTAGTTTAAGGTAATACAAACAACCGTTAGGTGAACAAAACTATTATACTCTGTAGCAACATGTTGCAAGACTATAAAAATAACGCCTTCACATATTTTACTTTTTCTTGGTTTATTAGTAGAGTAGAGTTCACTTTGTCTCAAAAAAGTGTTTATAAGTGGTAAAATCGCTTTACAGAAGCCGAAAAGATGTTGATGACAATGAGAATTTAGCAGGTGCGACCTTCAATAAGCGAAGAAAACATCAAAACAGTGAAAAAAATCGTTTTTGAAAATCGTCGAATCACTATCAGGGAAGTTGCAGAGGATGTTGACATATCAATCGGCTCATGCCATTCAATTTCTCGAATGTTTTGGGCATGAAACGTGTGTCAGGGAAGTTTGTTCCGAAATTGCTAAAAGCAATTGAGAAAAACCAATGTCGTAGGCCAAAAACAAAACCGTTATCATGCCTCAACCACCATGTTTACCAGATTCGGCTTCTTGCGACTTTTTCCTATCCAATTGATGAGATCAAGAAAGAGCTGATGGCCATACCGAAAAGCGCATTTCAGAAGTGCTTCGGGGATTGGAAAAAGCATTGGCATAAATGTAATAATTCCTAGGGGGATTACTTTAAAGGGGTTAAAATAGATTCTGACTCCAATCGATAACCCGCTAAATAACCATTTAGCCCCAAAATAACCATTTAGCCCCTCGAAAGCGCCCGAAAACACAATAGTCAGCCGATATGGTTTTATGCAGTAGTTTTTGGTATTCACATGAAATCATTTCCATCGACTACAACAACCCTAATGCACTCCTACCAAAAACAATACATACGTACCTATGGTGTATAAGTGCCGTTTCACATTGGGACGCAAAAGAGTCTCATACCAGTTTATTGTGGGTGAGGGGACGACGAGGAAAGACGAAGGGACCGTGCCACTCGTGTTCGGGTGGCACGCTTTGTGTTCTTGTTCGTAACAGCTCGCTGCTACCCTTTTCAGCATTCCTTTTCACTTTCAAATCCTTTGAATGGTTGCAAGAGCGCTCGGTTTCAAATGAATTCGATCGCAAATTTGAGTTCTGTTATCTATTTTTGTATGTAATATGCAAATACGTATGCATAGAATAATAGAAATATTGTGACAAATTGTAAATAAGGAGAAAATTAAGATATAGATTATGGAGTAAAGAAATTATGAATTTTTAATACGGAGTAAAGAAATTATGAGTTTTTAATACTTAAAGATTAGGAAATTGCTATTATAAATTTGGCCTTGAAAATATTAGTTGCGGATATTCAATACATTCTTGTGGATTAGGGAATTCCCGTCTTTAGTATTTTTTTGAAACTATTTAGCGGGTAGGTACTTGTACTATGCATATTGTTCTACCATATTCATGGTAATTCATTGCAAGCAAAATGTGTGACCATCATCTCAACATACAAATGAAATACGCAGCACGCAGTGTTGAGCGGTGTTGCGCAGTCGAACCGCACAAATATTTACGAACATTTTGTGAAAAGGAATGCAGAAAAACTAGACTCGAGTTGCTGGACTCTTTTTGACCGTGTGAATGCCCAGAGCGACACCAAAAGAAAATTTGAAAAACATCAGACTCTTTTGCATCCCTGTCTGAAACGGCACTAAGAATGTACCCATTAAGCGTATAGTACATGCATACATACATATGTATGTGTACATAGTCTGGTGCGTGGGCATATGGCATTTGTATGTGTTTCCCCTTTTTTTAAGCAAAAAGAACAAAACACATGCGCCCATACACTTGCTCTATTTGACGTTACAGCTGTTAACATTGGAACTCTGGAGAATATGAGCACAAGTGTTTCTTTTGTTTATCCAAATCTGCAATAAACAAGTTTCCAATTCTTATGTACTTAAGTGAACACATATGAATATATTATACATCTGTACTCATATAAAGATATATGTAGATACACATATCTGTATGATAAAAAATATATACATTTTGGCACCTAAGCTCCTATTTCCGCAAAAACGCCTTCAATGGCTGGGCGTAAAATCGGCGAAATGCTTAGAAGAAATCTTCAAAACATCGAAATTATGTTTTGCTTTCTCTTATTATTTCAACTTGTTTCAATTGTTTGCATATCAAGTATGAGAAATATGTAGAAAATGAGTTCCTCTATTCAGCATTAAGTAGGTGGACTTAAGGTGAATTAGCTAATTATAGTACACTGCGGACACTCTGCATGCATATTACGGTATTATACGAAAACTGGTGGCGCTACGATTCGAACATGTTAGATAAAGTCTCAACAGAAACTATGCTTATGATTTTCAATAGTCACACAGAGTTTTTATCCACGAAAATTTAGATGTTAGATAATTATAATAATAACATGGGTAGATGATAGGAAATGAAATTTTCCTAAGGCAAGATCATTTTAGAGGTGTCATGACTATAACCATACAAAGCAGTTCGTGATGAATGAATGAGCCTACTAGTAACGTCTGTTCGCGATTAATGGTCCATTCCATATTTCTCCCAACTATGTGAGAATGCAAGAAACAGAAGGATTCTACTGATAATCAAATTATTTTATAGGAAAATCAATTGCTTATAAAACATAAGAATTCTGCTTAATTTCTTTTTTTTCACCTATTTCGAAATTGTACCCTATTCGAGCAACCAGTAGTTATTAGTTAGTAGTATAATAGTTTTGCTCACCTAACGGTTGTTTGTAACACCTACAACTAATCGAGATAGATCTTCTCAGCTAGTGTCTTTTAGACGGGTGTAATTTTTTGGGATTTGGTCTTTTTGTTGTTGCTTGATTTATGGGTGATTCTCATAGAACTTTTGCTTCGCTTTGGGACAGACATTTGGTTTGACAGAAAAGTTCGATGTATGTATGAGTTCATCCGCCATCCATCAGAAAAAAAAATTTATTCGCCGATGAAGCTCGCTTTTGGTTGAAGTGGTATGTTAATAAACAATATTGTCGCATTTGAAGTGATGTTAATCCACAAGCCATTATTGAGACGCCTTTACATCCTCAAAAATTCACTGTTTGGTGTGCTCTATGGACAGAGAGGATCTTTGGTCCATATTTCAGTCAATAGGGAATGCATAGAGCCGTACTTAATGACTTGTTCGTGCCATTACATTAAATTAAATGCTTTTAATTTCTTCTTGAAAACCACATGTCTAAATAATAAAAAACACTTTACATAAATAATAGTCAGTATGTGAGATATCTTCATAAACTTTCTTACACTTGGATATTATCAGTACATCGTATGTAGCAATTTCCGATTTTCCTGCTGTCTTTGAACGCGATATAGTTTATTTCGACTTCCCATTTGACTTTAAACGTGATATTTTAATGAAATTAAGTGGATATGTTCTCTTAAGCGTAATGTGGTTTAGTGCTCTATTTGAAAGAACTTGATATAGATCTTTGTCTAAATCTCATATCCCCTTATATTGATTTTGGTTTTCTGACTCTTGATAATACGAGAGTATAAAATGTTTGGTTATGCCTAAACTTAGCCTTTCCTTACTTCTTTGTCATAATGTTTGCAAATACCCATTACGATATTTTTAGCCGACAATTTGACCTAACATAATATAACCTAAAAATGTGGATATTTTTTTAAAATTAGGTGCTGTTTATTCACATTTCTAATTTATGTATGAATTAATCAAATCGAATAATAAGTTATAGGCCTTTTCATCAACTCTAATTTTTTTTAAAAGAATTTACGCAAATATTTCTTGGTAGAGTGCCTAGGGTATTTCAAAAATTTACACACCAACACACATTTTTGGTTTATTTATATTATTTTAATGAATTGAGGAAAAACGAATAGTGAAATTTTGTGTGTTACGCTTTAAATACGTGCGAAAATTCGGTTACAAACATGCATATACACTTATGTATATCTGAGTATATATACATACTCTTATGTATACCTAAGTATATATATACATATATACATATATATATGTCTGTATATAAGATGTGTAAATAAGCATATATAAAAGCGTGTTTATATGTATAAATTTATACATATGTATGAGATGTTAAATGTGTGATTAATAAGAGTACGTTGTGATCTATTTTTGAAAGTTCTTCTCAGCTATTCGAAACATATTGTATTGTATTTTTAAAATTAGTGTGTGATAAGTAACAGAAGAACTGTGAGGTGCAAATATTTTCAAGTAAGTTTAGCCGCTGCATGCTTGTTTGGTGAAAAAAAGGAAAACGCTTCAATTGAAAGTGGAGAAATTACAAGAATTTTGAAAAGTGTTTTTGAGCTTTGAGGTTTTCAAGTTTTTTCAAACGCCGTGTATCCACTTCGATTAAGCATTTTAAAGTCATTCAACCGAAGAAGGTGTTTATTGAATATTATTATATAATTGTGAATTCGAAATTCCAAGGATTGCTGGTAATTTTAACGGAGACAGTGTAAAGGAATGTAAAGGAGATTCTTGCATTGAAAACATTATTTCGAAAATTTTTTTGCTATTAAGTGAGTTAAAAGGACATATATGTATTTACATATGAAAATGCTTGTGGTGACTACTGTTTTTAAATGTTGTAATGAAATATTTATTTAATTAAAATTATTATATTTAATTAAAATTATTTAGAAAAATAAAATTTAATACATTTTTGTTCCTTGCTTATGTATAATATGTATGTATATAGCAATAATGTATTTTTGTAAGCACTTAGTTATATATTTAGTGACTTCACTAAACAATATTTCAATTCGTTCATTAGTTAAATTATTATAACTGAACTTTGGCTAGTTAGCACTCAGCAATGAAAAATTAAGAGAAAATTTAATTGTGTAAGAAATTAAGTGAAACGTTTCGCCTTTTTCCAACACAACACGGCGAATTCCGGTATCTCACATCGGTGATGCAGAATTCATACACCAAGTATGTACATACATATATACTTGTACTATAGCAAATGAGGCAAGCGTACATTTCGAAATATGCACACTCTTTTGCATTTTTATGCATACATACATATGTATATACTACACATAAACATACATAGGTATGTATGTAAATATGTTTTTGTGACCTCATAGTCATGTTAATTAAAATCAAAATGGCGCATGGAAAATTTAAAATTGTTTATTTTTTTGGCTGAAAATTCGAATAAACAATTTTGAATATTGACTACGTTCCTATAAATTATTTTGTGGAGCATAGAATACCAGATGTGCACATGTATATAAATACATATGTTTTTATGCTTAAGCAGTTAGGCTAGTTTAGAGCTCTAAACAAAAAATCGAATTTCTTTCCTTCAGACTTTATTAAAAGTGTGTAAAAACATTTAATTTGACATTTCGATACAAAATTGCAGTTGCTGGGTCGGTCTTCGGAATAGTCTTTATCAAGAGCGTATCTACGGTCGCCCGTGATTCGAGCAGCTTCTGCTATCTGCCATGTTCAATGTACAGGATCCACATACGACTTGTGTTAGCCATTCAGAGTTTACTAGATAACGTTATTGTGAACCTACAGTTAAATTTTCAGCTCGATATGTGAGATAGTCACTGAGTACCATCCTTGCTATATTTAATAAATTCAGTTTTTAGAAAAACACGTTTAAATTGTTATCTGCTGGCGCTGACCAACACCAATGCTTCGACGCCACAGCGCATTGGTTCGGGATTTTTTCACAATTCTAATAGTTGAAGAATTGACTCTAAAATGCATTTTAACCCAAGACTGTAGAGTTTTCAAAAATCCTAGGCTTACTTAAAGGCTTAAATAAATTATTCTTAATCATTAAAATATCAAAGAATGCTATTTATTTGTTATTTTTTATTTTTTTATATTATAATTTTGTTTATTAAATTATCTGCAGGCTTTTTGAAAATAGATAGTATCATTTTAAGCGTATACCTAAATACATAGAAATTCATATGTACCTGTGTATATGTATACAATAACTGTGTCATTCAGTAATGATTTCTGTCTGCCAATTTGTCTGCTATAGTTTTATAAACTTACATATATACGACTATATCTACAAATATGCGTACATAATATTACTTTACCGAAGACGATGAATCACGGTTGTTATCTATATACATACATATGTACATACATACGTATATTTATCAGTGATTCCCGCTATATTTGGCTATTGTTAATATAATATGCAGTTTGACATTACGAGTCTGCGAAAATCATTACTCACATCATAAATAAATAGGCGCAAAATAGCGTGCTGCATATGCATACATATGTACTCAAGTACAAACATACACACACATATATATGTATGGTATGGGTGTATAAAATATCATAATAGAATATAGTATTTTCGAAAAATGAGAAGTTTTTTGAAACGCAACCAACAATCATTTCTATTTTTATGCCCTTTTCATAAACGACAATAAGCAAAATACAAAATAAATCCTTCTTTTAGCAGCAAATCTAGATGAATGTTCATATACATATATATAGTATATATGGATCATGTTCAATGTATTATACATTTTTACTAAAAATACTCGTACCTGTACTAAGTAAATGTGCCAAGTGCGATTACGCGTACTAAATGTGTATTTATAAGTGTTGCAAAAATTAGCAATTAGTAGGAGTTCCGAAATTAAAAAAATATATATATATACATATATATATTGTAGTACGATTATTTCGAAATAAATGGCATTTTTGAACTGTTAAAGCACATCTATTTGGATTATGCAGCTACTAAAAAGCATACATATCTGCATTATGTACAGTACCGTCTGAGTAGACAACAAATTTATTATATGAAGTTGCTATAACGTCAATAAAAATAACAGGACTGTCGTACTCCGTAGATAAATACTTACATATTTATTTGATTATTATAAAAATTGTTTGCACCAAAACCACCGGTGCTAAGCTGCGCTCAATGAACAACATCCAACGAAGTTAAGCCGAGAGAGATAAAAACGGAATTCAATGGTTTCATTACATTATTAGTATCAAATAAAAAAATGTCCAAATTTGCAAAATATCTTTGGACCGCCAAATTTACATTTTTCATACAATCATGTACAATGGAGGGTCATTGTACAGAGAAACATACAAAAAATGTTAAGAAAACAATCACTCAGCGATCGGTGATTGTCTTCGAGTTACAATTTGAAAAATGTTTTTGAGAAAGTATTGTGCATTTAACCTTTATAGATAAACTGGTTGAACTGAACGGTTACATTTTAAAAGGCTGTTATTCAAAAAATATTTGAAATATTAATTTAAAATTTTAGTATAATATTTTTAAAGGTATCGAAATATGCAAAAAGGCAAAGGCTTGTAAACTCCAAATTTGGTGATGGGAGCATTTTCATTGATTTCTTCTCTATTTTATCGCATAAGAAAGCAAATTTTATTCTACATTCAGGTTTATAACACGACAGAAAGTTCGAGCTCATAATTGCTTATTGTTATGATTAAAATGGCTTTATTTGCTCATTTCTTAATGGCCATAAACAACCTTCAACGTATCATGTAAATAATAAATTAGTAATATGAGTTATAACCATTTCGGTAAAATACGATAAAGAAAGTGTTTGTTTATCCACAAAATATATGACATGCGCATACGAGTATAAGATACCTATTTATATTTATTAGTTATTTTTTAATTTATGGGACTCATTTGCTAATGCACGATGCTTAACTATAAAAATAATATAGAGTTTATCAGTTTCTAAATGAAAGAAATATGCAAACAAAGTGCCGAGTTTTATGAATGAGTAAACTTTTGTAAATATTTATTCAAATGTTTATATTAATTTATGAAAATTGAATAAAATATAGACTCATTATAGTACAATAAATTTTGTAAGATATTACATGCAACGTGCAAAAGTTACTATAAATACATATGTATGTGTATATATACAATACATATTTACAAATTTTTACACAGGAAACAAGAAAAAAATCATAATTTTGCTGATAATCATTTATTTATTTTTTCCGATCGTTTCAATGTAAATTTCATTTCTTCTAGTTAAAACAAAATTCTTCGATTATGACCTACTGAAATTTTTGTAGAATTTCCAAAGTATGTTTTGGGTACTTTTAATAAAGTTCTTAACATTTCTACGTAAAAAAATTATTCCCATGAGCAAGAAAGTAATATTATATATGAATGTTCTAGAAGGTATAGGATCTGCTAGAAAAAAACAAAAGTATAAGTTATCTAGAACGAATTTTCTCGTTTATATGTATTGTTTCTGTCTAAACATTTTCGTAGAACATTTTGTTCCATATTTTAGCCTTCAACTATCAACTTCTACGTTCTTTATTATACATAAGTTAAATATAAAAAACTGCAGTAAAAATGGAATTTTCTATAAAATTGTTATACTGTTTAAATCTCTGAATAAAATAAAGCTCAAAATTTATCAATGTTCATAAAATATTTTTTTCGCATTATTGCATAAAAACCATTAATTTTCAAAATAAGTTTCTACTTGTTAAAACCTTTTAAAATTTGCACCAACACAAAGACGATTTTAAGAAAAAACGTTAACTCGTGGAGATATCTCGTCAAATAAAAGAGTCTTCCATACAAGGAGTTGATTTTGATCGATCAGTTTGTATAAGATATATGTATATAGCTATATGCCATGGTGCTCCGATATCGGAGGTTCCAGCCAATGAGCAGCTTCTTTGGAAGAAAAGGACGTGTACAAAATTGCAGATCAATATTTACAGATAGACAAACGGACATTGTTAAATTGACTCGGCTCGTCCGGTGATCATTTATATACATATATATATTATAGTGTTTGTGCTTTGTGGCAAACTTAATATACCTGATGTTACGTAACCTTTGACAGAATTCTTATTTACTCATACTCAATAATAACAATATCAAACTTAAGATTTTAGATTGAGTAAGAAATTTGAAAATATTTTAAAATAAAGTAATCGTATTTAATATGTAAATGTTCTTTCAGAATGTCTAGTTATCGCCCACGAAGAACTCGCATTTATGGCGCCAATTACGATATGGGTGAAAGCTCCTACAAAAAGTTACTGGAAAGCATAGACAATAAAAGAGGCGTCGGCCGGTAAGCTTTTTCATAAAATATGATAAGTAATCGATTAAAAAATTACTTTATTTATTCTTTCAATCGATTATAATTAAAAAATTGTATATCACAATTCGAAAACTAGCCTCAGAAATTTCCTTGAGTTCAATTTTCCCAACTTTTCCTCAACTTATTCACAATTTTTCAAATGCTTTCAAAAATTACGCGCTCTGTAAAACATCCCTTGTAATTTTCATTACTACACTTACACAATTTAACTTTTACATTTTTAATCAATATTACTGACAGGAGCTCAGATTCACATGTTCCTTTGGCTCGTGAAACCAGCTTACCACCGAAAGTGACCTTTTTGCAAGATGAGGACGACTTTGATCGCGAAAAATATAGAGCCTCACTAAGAGCCAAACTGCAGCTCGACGATGAGGGTAATAAAAGAAACAAAAAATTTACTAAATTTAGCTTATATTACGAATTTTCTATCTACTTTAGATTCCGATCTTTTTGGCTCCACACTCAAGCAATCAAAGTTGAGACTTGCAGAAAGAAGTAGATATCTGGATAATGAAGGTGAGATCCTGCTCTATATCATTCTAAATGTATATTATATAAAATTTTCTTATATACATGTGTAGATGAAGACATTTTGGGCTCTACCTACAAACCATTGAAATTGAAGGGCTTAGATGAATCCAATGCTGTAGAATCTTCACTGAAATCGTCATTGAAATATAGAGCTTCAGCAGAGCCATTCGAATCAACTTTGAAGTCATTGAAATTGAATGGTACAGATGAGTCAGGATTCGGTGAAAGCATAAAACATAGAGCATTAAAAGCTATCGAAAGAACCGGCAAAGCGAGGTCTATCTTGGACGACTTAGATGATCAGGTAAAGTACAGTTATATTTTTGGAAATAAATTTGTATATTTTGTTAATACCGTAATATTTTATATTTGCTTATTAATTTCACTTTGTAGGAGGCGAGTTCATTTTCTTCCAGACGTATTAAAATCAGAAGTGAGAACGTCATAATGGGTGATACCAGTACCACAACCGAAGCTTCCTCACGCATGAAAGCTACCAAAGCTCGCCTAGCTGATCTCGAATCGGAAATGTCGTCGATTAGTGAAAAACAAAGTGAACGGGAAAGGCGTAAAAATAATTTAAGAAAATTATTGAATGAAAGCGAATCTGATACTTTTAAGGCCATAGAAATGTAATTGTTGTAATGTTGTGTTATACGAGTACGTATTAAAAAAAGAAGAATTGTGGAAAATAAAGTGTTTAAGTAAATGTTAAAGGGAGATCTATAATGGAAAGCAAGTTTCTATTTTATATTTAATGAATTTGGGAACGTCAAAGCTTGCTCCAGTGTTTTGGTATGTATTTTTATACGCTGAGCAAGGTGAATTAAGTTTGCCACAATATATGTATGTATGTAACACCCAAAAAGAAACTTCGGAGACCCCATAAAATGTATACATACAAGTATATTAATGATCATGTGACAAGCTGAGTCGATTTACCCATATTCATTTGTCCGTCTGTCTGTCTGTATATAATATATGCGAACTAGTCTCTCAGTTATTGAGGTAATCAAGGGTGTTGATATCGGAATCAGAATTGAAACCGATAGTAAGATGTCAGAATTTTTAAAGTTCGAAACAGAAATTGTATCGGTTTTGGGTGTCACGGAAACCAATTTTATTGGTTTTGTTATCAGAAACAAAGCAAGAGGTGAGTCGTTGACAGAATCGAAATGTAAGTTAAGAAAATAATTTATATTATTGTTTCATTTGTCGTTATTTCTATAAGAAAAAACATAAAAATAAAACACAAAATGTCATATTTATTGAGTTTATGGAAAAAATCAAGATATTTTAAGAGAATTTACAAAACGTAAAAAACATAATTTAACACCCAAATGCGTGTTTATTCAGTCGATAATGTAAAATAAATATGTAAACTAAGCATGTATACAAACATACAAGTATACAAACATACATGTAAATCAAAAATACAAAAATCCAATCAGAGTCTGTGACACCATTAAAAATTAGAATTGGTTTGCAATTCTGACAACTACGCAAATCTACCTTGGATTTCACAACACCCGTGAGTGATCTGAAAATTTGCAAACGTTCTTTTCTCCCCAAGAAGCTGTTCATTTGTCGGATCCGCCGACATCGGACACTATAGCTTATAGTTGTCATAAAAACTTACCCAACAAAATCAAGTTTTTGCATGTTAACTTTTTTATTTGTGAGGAAAGCAACCAAAGCTAACGGTTTTTTTTGTTTTTATATTTACTGATTTTGCTCCTGTTAATCCTGAAGTTCTGAAAATTCTGAAAAATTTGTGTGTAGTGCGTGCCACAGATATCGTAAACGTTGTATTAAAGCTGTGTGTAAATAACTGGTCTACGATGGATAATTTTTCCAGGCCAAAAACCGAAACTAAACAAAAAAAATTAGCCGAGGAAATAACAGAAACACTAATATATACGAGTAAGTATATATGTTTAGGCAATTTAATAATGATGATAAATTATAAATAAAATGGTTCCGTTGATTCCTCATTGGATGCTTTAGTACTTTATAGGTCGATCAACCAATTTCAGAAAAATATTTTCTAATGTTTGCCGATAGTCCTTTGAAAAATTAATTAAAACTTCATTTTGTATTTGGTAAATAAAGTTCGTTATTTATTGGAAGCAAATGATCAGAGCACAATTCAACATTTGTGTTTTAGTATTGTATCCTATACTTTATCATTCAACAAAAAAAAAAACGCTTTTGGCTTTTTAAATTCTCACATTCTTATCATACAAAATTGATATGATAAATTATACTAAGTATTCAAATACTTTTGCGCATATTCCGCTTTAACGCTATAAATGGGCTTAGGCCGTTATTATCTACATATATATTTGGTGCTAAATGCAAAGAGAGGCAGCAGCTCATGCAAGTGTGGTAGCTTTGCTATAGGATTACAATTCTTTCAATACGCTTCTGAAGACATCCAAAACCATGTGTGCGTGTTTCTCTTGGAATATCAAAGCTGGTCTGAAACGAATGGAGAACTCGCCGCAGCCACCAGTCTGTATACCCTTAAGTTTGAGACGTCCAACGAAATCATCACGAGCTTTGGTGTTTTGGCAATTCACCGCTAAAAATGTGCCGCGTCCTCTTGTCGAATTTATGATATGTGAATATTCTTTTTCCAAAGCTAAAAGACCATCTTTAAGCACTTTACCAGCAGCGTTTACATTCTTGAGTAAATTCTCATCCTTAATTACGTTGATAACTTCTTCCAACAGCAATAATTTGCTAGGCTCACCCATCCAGGTGTTGAAGACACGATAACCTTCGGCGGGTTGGAACTCTTTCTTGTGGAAGTAGCCACCCAATTGCATTTTTTTGCTAAATGTCACCACATCGGGTGGTCCATCCAAGTTGAAGTGCTCGTGACACCAAAATTTACCAGTACAACCGCCACCAGTTTGTACCTCATCGATCAGTAAGGCGGTACCATGGCGTTTGCCAATTTTTTGCAGTCCTTGAAAGAATTCGGGTGATGCTTCGTTGTCACCGCCTTCACTTTGTATAGGTTCAACTACAATGCCCGCTACTGGTATACCGTTTTTGTTGTACTGTACAATTAAGTCTTCAACTTCAGCCAAGCAACGCTCGTCTTCTTGTTTGTTATGACGTTCGTTTTCAGCGAGTGGATATTTATATTCGGGGAATGATGCAATTGGCCAATTGAATGAAGGTACATCGATTTTATGTATATACTTAGAGTGTGTGGTTGAGAGTGCGCCCAAAGTGCGTCCATGGAATGCGCCCTTGAAGGAGAGTATGCTTAATGGCGGCGAGCCTGGCTGTTGATTAATCATGCAAGACAGCTTTTCGGCCTCTGAGAACTCGACATTCTCACCACGCTGATGGCGACGGTACCTGTTAAGAAAAGTGATATATAATTATTATTCCTAATATAGGCAGCTTAAAAAATTGTTGAAAAATTTAATTATTAGTAAATATACAGCACAAACGTTATAAAATGCATAATGATACCGAAACCGGGATCCTGCGAAAACAAGTATAATGTTTAATTTTGAAGGTTTTACTGCAATAAACTGCTATAAGCGAGATTCAAGCAATACTAGCACTGATCGCTTCAGAATAGAGAGAGATGGACAAAACGAAACATTTAGTTAATGCTAAGTTAAATAGATTTAAAAAATATTGCAGAAATAAATACGTTAAGCTTCTGCGGTTGATTGTCCGAAGAAAATTTCTAAATATTTGCTAAATTGGGACATCACTGAGATAGTCCAAATCGTGAATATAAAAACGTTCAACCACCAGTGGAGCTGAAGAAATGCTGTGAAGGTGTTTCGCTAATCTTAAATGTGCCAAATTCAAACAAACGTATATTAATATTTAGCAGACATATTCGTAAGCCTATTTAAAAGATTAACTTCTAAACATTTTAATTTAATTAAAGCTCTGTTCGATTACTCAAGCTTTAGAGAGTGCCGAATCGAACAAATAACTTGATAAATCGGTTATTCAATTCAAATCTTCTCTTGTATTAAACTCAATTGAAGAACTTTGTAATATAATATATTGAAGTTAAATGTAATATATTGAGTTGATTTGGAAAACGTCAGCCAGAAGAGCGGAACTCATTGTTTTGGATATTTGAGGTTTAGACCAACTCCACTCATGTTATATGTTAAACCATTAAATTAATTTTATAACTTTTGAAACAACTTGTCCACTTAATTTCATGCAATATCACATATGCATTTTAACCAACCTATATGGTTAAGAGTAAGCTAGAAAGTCGGAAAAACTATACTTGGTGTATTGGTGGCAGAGAAAGGTCTTGACTGATTGCATTAACTTTTCATTTAGTTAAATACGCTCAAGTACGTATTCCTATGTAATTTCGTGAAGATAAATTCCGCACTGACCGACATATTTGACTGAAAGTCTGCTGAAACAACGAAAATCATTATAGATAATATTATATATGGGGGCAAATACGTGGACTAATTTCACACATTTTCGATATTATTCGTATCCAGAGTTATACTTTCACTTAATTTTTTTAGGATACCTTACGTATTCACCGATATACCTATACGGTATGAAGACAACCGGAAGTTTAATATTCTTATATTAGGTATATGAAAGTTAGAATTAGTATACTCCCGATTTTATCTATTTTTGGCATTACGACATATCGTCCACATATGAACCAATATATGAGGTGTAAAGTCAACTGGATGTCTGAAAATCATGATATTAGTTATATGGGGCTAGAGCAAGTTTTCGCCCGATTTTATCAATTTTTAGGACAAAGATGTACTGTTATTAAAAAAATACGGTCTTTCAATTCCATTAAAATAAATGTACATATCCGATATATGTGCATATATATGTACATATGCGGTACATGGTAAAGTCAGACGGAAATTCGAAAATATTTTTATTAGGTATGTATATAAGGACTATGAGAAGAAGTGACCCGATTTAACCAATTTTTGAGATAGAGACACACCATTATCAGAAAAGGATTGTCTTCGAATTTCATTCATATATCTAACACATTGATCGATATTTTCGGTAAAAAAAAGTAAGCTGTTAGCACTGGGGTCCACATTTTCGGTATATGGGGCTTGAATTGTTATGTTCCTTTACCTTCATACTTTAAAGGCACAATTTGTTCAAAGTTTTTATAGACACACAATAAATTTAATGAATTAATTTTTACTTACCAAATAAAAATATTTTTGTATGCATTTTCATTTGAGCATGAACCACACATCATAGTTGTCAAATTACTAAGGCCTTTGGGTGCAATTTTGTTAAGAATAGATTTTAAATGTTCCGGCCATTCTTTTCCGGGGAAAACACCCAAAGCTGGACGGTTAATTAAAGCTGCAAAATAAAATTAGTTTAAGTTACTTATGAAATTGCCATTGCTTAAAGTTAAATTAAAAAAACAACGAAAATGAATGAAACGATAGCTGTATTTATTATATGAAGAAGGAAGGAGCTTAGTCTAGTAATAACGGGCTACTAAAAGGATAATACTAAAACCATTCCGCTTGATGATTCTCTGTCTACGATGGCGATTATATGTTTATTTCGTACAAGAAAAGTAGTTATAGCATTTTGGCTGAAATGGAATAATATATCTTTCGTGCCTCTTTTTTGATAAAAGAAATGCTGCTGATACCAAAAAAGGACTTTATGACTATAATTCGGGCTCTGCAGCAGCTGATACAACCATTCGTAAGTGGTTGGCTAAATACCATATGGGTCATATGAACACCGAAGCCGATGGACGCTATGGGCGTCCAAATCGGGCTGTTATGTAAGAAAACCATAAGATAGATCGAGATAGCTGACACTCTAAAGATAGAAAAATGTGTTGGACATATTGTTCAGGAATATTTGGGTATGTAAAAGCTTCCCGTAAAGAGGATGCTTCGTTCACTCACAATCAAGGCAATGCAACGTGCCTTACATTAATAGTCACGAGGTATCCAGCTACTTTCTTCTCAGATCTCATGAAAAAGAAATAAAGCGACAATGAAAAATTAAATGCTGAGGCGACAGCCTTTTTTAAAGCAAATGACAAACGTATGTCAAAAATGGTGATAAGAAAAAGGAAACTGGAAGATCGCCGCTGTAATCAGTGTGTAGTGAATTCCAAATTTACAAAAAAAACTGGATTTTCTATAAGATTATATGAACTTTTCAGCCTGCCTGTTACAATCCTCTCGCAGCACCACCACCAGTGCATCAACCACGCCAACTCGATGGGATTATTTTAAAGCGGAATTAGAGTGCCTTTTATGAAGCAATTGACATTAACGGCACTGGCTTGTCATATATGAATGTCATATTAATTTGGTCTTTGTTAATAGCTTCTCACTGACACCTACTTCTCCTTCATCTTTATTATTTTAGTACATATAATTAGGGTATTCACAAGATGTCATATTGTGTCATATCGTCATATTGCCTTATTTTTTTACGACTGTCATATCAACACTGTTGTTGCTTCCCATGCAAAATTGAAATACGACAAAAACAACATGGCGAGGTATGTTTTTTGAGTGTACTATTCTATCAGCTGTATATGTTTCCTTTTTTTATTGTTGACGTTTAAGTGTCTAAAATTAATAAATTTGATAAATTTATTTAATAATATGGAAGGAAACCATGATATTCAGCTAAATTAAGTTGAAGATAAGTGAAAACCAAAACATCGCAGAAGCTTTTATTTTATTTTTTCACTTTCTCGTGGCATTTTTGTATTTTTAATTTTTTACTACCAGCTGGTGAAGTATAGAAATATTACACAATATGACATACAACAATTAAGGTATTTTTAAGACTTTTAAAATACGACATAAGACAAAGCCTGTGAATTGCCTAAATTTATATTCCAAAATATTTGTATCATTAAAAAGAATTTGTTTAACTAAATCTTTTCCAAAAAGCGCACCTTACTCTCACATCTCTTTTTCATCATTAATTACCAATAAAAAAAAAACATTTTATCCGATTACTTGGCATATCTTATTATTTTATTTATTTAATTTTTAACAAAGCTGTCACAACTTTTGGACTCGATGTGTTCAAGTGTATTTTTAGATATCATAAATAAGTTTCAGTGTTACAGGCATGCCACACCTGCTTAGTGTGTTTGTGGTAAACATATGGTATTACCCCTTTGGTTCAGTGTTTCCAAAAAACAAAGTTTATAAGTATAAATTACATATCAATTTTAATTTAATAAAAACTTGTTATTAATAATTTTTTTAAACCAGATTTAGAAGCATCAGAAAATAACATATGTATCTTCTTAAGAGATTGTCGGCTTAGCAATTCTTTTAGCAGAATTCTACCTAACTTGTTTTAACATCATTGATAATAGCAGGTATTTATACGTTTGATACTCACTTTTTAAATTTTTTTCATTTTGGAAGACATTCAAGAGGCGGGGATGATTGTAACCTAATGGCATTGATGAAATTTGTGTGTAAACATCGAGCAAGGCATTGCCGTCGACATCAACCAGATAGTTTCCAATAGACTTTTCAAAGTCAGCGAAAAGTTGAACTGTTTCGGCATTCTGAAAAAGAAACATCATAAAGATATTTTATTGAATACTTTGGAAATTATTACTCATGAAAAAATATTGTATATTTAACTCATGATAATAAGTCAGAACTGTTGAAAGAAATTTACGAGTATACCTTAATTTTTCTAGTATCGAAATTCGGACTAATAGTGACATTTTTTTCTCAAATATCACTTCACTAAATAGGCTCCAACATTTCATGAGAACATTCTTCCTTATTCTACGTGTTAAATAAGCATCGGTAAAACTTTTTGATTTTAAGAAAATATTCGAAATAATTCAAAAAAAGAATACAAATCTGATTGGCAAGGCTATATATGTATACTATCTGAAGACGGTCTACTGCCACGAATTCACAGAGGAAAACTAAGCAACTACCAATTATTCTATTAGGTATAGTAAAAAGTTCGTTCGGTTTTTTATTGATTTTTCAAAAGATGATAACTTTGTGTACATTTGTCCGATTTAAGTCAAATATGCGCCGTTTTGTTCGTAAACTTGTTGCCAACGAGATGCCAACTTCATTATACCTCTCTCGTAGAAGACTGCGTCCCTATTGCCAAAAAACTCGGAGAGCCAATTTTCACAGGCCTCTCTTGAGGCCAACTTCTCACCATTAAGCGCGTTCGCCATGGACAGGAAAAGATGGTAATCACTTGGTGCCAGGTCCGGACTATAAGGTGGGTGCATTAGAACCTCCCATCTGAGCTCCAGGAGCTTCTGGCGAGTCACCAAAGACGTGTGTGGCCTGGCGTTGTCCTGATGGAACACAATTCGGCCTCTGTTGATCAAAGATGGCCTCTTCTGGATGAGTGCTGCCTTCAAGCGGTCCAGTTGTTGGCAGTAGAGGGCCGAATTGAGCGTTTTACCATAGGGGAGCAGCTCGCAGTAGATGATTCCTTACCCATCCCACCAGACACACAGCAAAACCTTCCTGGCCGTCAATCAGGTCTTGGCCACCATCTGGGCCGCTTCCCCGAGCTTTGACCACGACCGTTTGCGCTCGATGTTGTCATAAGTGACCCATTTTTCATCACCAGTCACAGACCGCTTCCGAAACAGGTCGATTTTGTTGCGATTCTGCAGCGATTTGCAGATGGAAATTCGGTCCATCATGTTTTTTGCGTTAGTTCGAGTGACACCCAAACATCGAGCTCCTTTTTGAATCCAAGGTTATGCAAATGGTTCCAAACGGTTTTCTGGCTTATCTTTAGTTCCTCAGCAATTAAATAAGTTCTCACGTGACGGTCTGTTTCCATTATTTCCATGATTTTATCGCAATTTTCGACGATAGGCCTCCCGACGCGTGGTGCGTCTTTGACATCGAAATTACCGGAACGGAACCTAGCAAATCACTTTTGTGCTACACGTTCGTTTACAGTATAAACTAAATTAATGTTTTCAGCCGCTTTGGCTGCTTTTTTGCCTTGATCGAAGAAAAATTGTAAAATATAGCGAATTTTCTCTTTGTTGGTGTCCATCTTTGACGAGCGCTCACAACGAACTGAGTAAATCAATCGAAAAACTGTCAAAGACAAACTTTTAGCGCGAATAAACACGTTTTCAGCGCCGTATAGTATGATATGATGCGACATGAACACTAGTACTATGGACAATAACGCCATCTCTTAGATAAAAACCGAACGAACTTTTTACTTGACCTAATATTATCAATCCCTGTCAATACTGAAGATTATTCGTGGCTATTTTAGAAACATGACAAATATAGACAGATTCATTATCTACTTAACGACTACTAATTAAGTATCACTCTAAAGGTTTAAAGGTTATAAAAAGATTGTAGTGAAATAATAGTAGCGCACTTAATCTAACCGTCTATGGCTTACCCTAAGAAGCACTTATAGGAAATTTGACGCTCTACAAAAAAGTCTTTAGAATATTTTCGATTATCTTAACCACTTAGGAGATATTCGATTACAAAAATTCACTTTTTTTTTACAATATTTTTTTTTTTAATTTTCTAAAGAAAATTTCCTATAAGAATATAATTTGGTTCAAACAATCCGTTAAAATATAAATACAACAAAAACTAGCTATGTTCATATCTTATCCCTTCACAGATAATGAAGCTCCCATACAAGCACTTGATTTGAATCGCTAAGTTTGTATGTCAGCTATATGCTATGGTGATCCGATCTGAAAAATATTCAAATGTTGTAGCATATCTCGTCAAATAAAAAGGTTTTCCGTACAAGAACTTAATTTTGATCGGCCGACAAATTAGCAGTTTCTTTGGAAGAAAAGGACGTGTGCGATATCTGAAAAACTGAGGGACTTGTTCGAGTACATACAGACAGGAGAACAGGTGGAAATGGCGTAACCAACTCAGTTCAAGCTGATCATATGTACATATATGTATTTCATAGGGTCTCCGATGTTTCCATATGGGTGTTACAAGCCTCGTTGCAAACTTAATATACCCTGTTCTGGGTATAATTAAAAAATATAATTAATATAGCATTAGTATAATAAAAGTTGGTACCAAAAATATTATAATCGGTTAATATCTACCGCGAGATCCCATATATCGAATAAAATATTTTCCGTTCCTTTAGCAAACCTTATTTAGAGTGGTCTATTTCCGAGGTATTTATTGTAATATGTGAAGAAGTTCTATTTTCATATTATGGTTTGATATCGAATATGAATGAAATCGGTTAGTAGCATCTCTAAGCATATAACTTTACTTATTAAATTCTTTCCAAGTTTAGATTTTTAATATTTATTTATATTTTAACCCTTTAAAAGTTTTTTTTTAATTAAAAACTATTGTTTAAATGATTACCAAAATTGTCAATTTTTAAATTTCAAATTATTTTTTAAAAATAATTTTGGCACAAATATTATTAATTTATTTTTATTTACATATATATTCTTATCTTTTATCTAATATTATCAATATTAAATTATGAATTTATAAATACTGTCTCTTTTATTTAAGCGTATATGCATAAACGACATCACACATAGTTTCTCCACGCAAATACATAATGAAAATCAATTAAAGCGAAATATCTTTTTGCTTGAGTACCTGCAATTTAAGTGATCCCTTAATGAATTACTTACACTTAGAAACATGTTATGAATACATATTAACGAAATATGATATGTATATTCAAATGTTGGTATATTGTGTGCATGTATGTATGTCATAAATACATACAATACTACTCAACAAATTTAATAATTATTAAGTGGCAACTGGAGTAAGTAAATTTTTTCTAATATACACTTTTCAGACTTACTTGTATAGCACTCAATTTGCCCTTCAATTCCAGTGACTTAGGACCTGGTATGGTTTGCGTTTTGACAGCTGGGGCTGCAGGTTCCGCCAGGGTAGCATAATTTCTAGGATATGCCAAACCTGCGAACACGAGGACACAACAAATATGGTGTGAGAGAAAAATATAAAAAATAACACATACATTTTACTATCTACATAAGTACATATGTATATAGTAATTGGATTTAATCGATTTTGACAAATAACTTTTTTTGGCTGAGTTTTAGTTTCTTTTTTCATATTTTATTCAATTCCGACACAGTTATTTACCTTTCAGAACACTACAGTGCCTCGACACAACCGTTGCTTTCAGGAAACTCATATTTATTAATTAAATGAACACTTCAAATGCGAAAATAAAAAATAATTCAAATTATTGCTGGTTTTGTTGTGTCAATAACTGTGTTGTGTGACCGTTGCTACCGTTGCGCACTTTCGGAATCAACGTTAAAAACTACTATGAAAGAGCAGCATCCAGGGCGAATTGTCTTGTAGTCGGCCCGTACTGGATTGTGCGCACAATTTCGTTTTGTTGAAATTTTACGCTCCCTAAAAGTGGTTATTATTAGGGGGTACGCGAGTAAATGTTAACGCCGTACGAGTACCTACCAACTATACATGCATGTGTGTACAGAAAAATTTACTGAACTATACACACACACTTGTATGTGGTGATGGGGAAGTGCATACAATAACAATAAATTGCGACATCACCGATACCGCCGTCATAAAACCACGAGCATTCCCTCCTAAACGAACAACCTGTTTGTTGTTTGTAAATTTACTATCACAACAAATAAATAAAAAGTAATCGGCTGTGAGAATTCACAAATTTAGAACTGAGTAGCCATGCACTAGTTTATATACAAACAAACATATATACATTCAAACATAAGCCACGGGAAAATTTTTGGATGAAGTGATGAGAACGACACAAGTCGCGCTCCAAGTGAGAAAGTGAAAAGAAAACAAAAATTCTTATCATATGCATAATAATCATTAACTATAAATTATATTCTTAACAAATCTACACGTGTACGTACGTTTATAATATGGTACGTGTGCCGAAAACTAGTTTGTTAGGGTGGTCTGACAGAGTTGGTAGTTTATGGATACTTCTAAAATATCAAATGTAAATATATATACTTTGCCGATAGCTTCTACTATGAGTTTTAGGAGATTAAAATAATAAGATCTGAGCTACTATTCTATTAAAAAGTTAAGGAAGTACGAGATTCTGAGAACAAAGAAGTTAAAAGTTTCCGACTTTTTACAACGCAAACTAAATAGATAGGATAATATGCATGTAGTTCAAGGTCAAACATTTTATTAAAAGGTTATACCCACTTGTGAACTCAAATAAATCGAAACTTTTGTAAATATAAATTTGGCAAAATCCTCCGAAAATTTTAAGTTGATCCGATATTGAATTTTTGTCAATAATCAAAATTTTGACTAGTTCTGCAATCATTACCTGTATTCATGTATTGTAATAATTTTTTTGTTTGTTTTTGAGTATGAGATAATTTTAAGCAGAAACATCTTTTTCACCGATAGATACCTTTCTTCTCCTGGATTTCAGCTACGGGGTCAAGGAAATCCAAAAATTGTTTAAATGAATTTTCGATTATTAAAGTAAAATTAAACTGAGTTCTGTTTTATATATTAATAAAATAAAATGCACAAAAAACGCGTTTTTTCTGATTTGCGAATGGATAACCCCTTAACTGAAGTCTTCTTGCCTTCTTATGTATTTACGTTCATTGGAATATTTAAGCAATGAGTTCACAAGACTTCGCATTAAGTGTTCGTGCTCTTCAAATTTAACTCCGCTATGTTTTTCTGGATAAAGTTTCTTCATAGAAATACACACGGACTCTTTTTTCGCCCAACCCGTTTAAGTGGGGGCGAGGGGATGACGGGGAAAGACGAAGGGGCCGTGACGCTCGTGCTCTGGTAGTACGTTTTGTGTTCTTGTTCCTAATAGCTCGCTGCTACCAACATCTGCATTCCTTTCCATTTTGAAATTATTTTCATGTTTGCAACAACGCTCGGTTTCAAATGAAGTTTGATTCGTTCAGAAATTTTAATTTTGTTATCTATTTTTATACCCTGAACAGGATATATTAAGTTTGCCACGAAGTTTGTAACACCCAGAAGGAAACGTCGGAGACGCTTACCGATAGATTAGTATTCTAAATATTGTTCGATCATATTCATGGTAATTTCTAGTAAGCAAAATGTGAAACCATCATCACAACATACAAAAGAAATTGCAACACACTCTAAGTGTCGTATATCCGAACCGCACAAACATTTGCGACAATTTTGTGAAAAGGAATGGCTCGAGTTACTAGACTCTTTTCGCTCATGTTACAGCACAGAGCACCACCAAAAGAAAATTTGCTGATAATGAGCGACATAAGAGTCCCCATGTGAACGCCGACTAAACGAACTTAGGAACGCACCCGTGTCGTAGTACCTGTAGTTTAAACAACACATATACATATGTGGGTAGAAATTTGTATATATGTACAAACATACATATGCATTTATGCACAGAATTTGAGGATTTTTATTGTCTCTACAATTTATTTTACAATATATGTACATACGTCAGAATTTGTTCTCAGACGTTAGTAACAGGCGCATTAAGTAATAATAAATTCATTAAGAAAAGAAACAATGTACTTTTTGTGTTATCTACACCGGTGAAAGCATGATAAGCTAATAGGTATGTATATTTATGCAGATTCCAAAATAAACAATAAACAGTAATATATATGTATGTTTATGTGTGTATACACATATTAATACATTGTATATGAAATCTGATAAAATCCGAATGCGATACGGACTAATTAAAAAATATGGAGCTATTATATGAGACAATGCAAAGTAAATTAATGTAACAAATATGTTAAATATTATAAAACAGCCAAATGTATGTACCTTGCAGTGAAGCATCCCAGAGAATTAAGTTGTCCTTTCTGTCAGATTTTACATATATCATGAATACATTATATAAATTTAGTCCTTAAATAATTAGAACAGGCTTACATTTCCTAAATTTAGCGATTTGAATTGTCCTTAACCGAACTTTATTCTAAACCAATTGCCTGGAAGCAGAAGGTACTTATCGCATACTGTTAACGGAAATCGCTGACAGTGAGCCTAACTTGCTTCAACTTAGTTCAAAATATAAAAAACAAAAAAATTACGTGTCATATTGTGCACCCGGTAGCGACTATTTTGAATTAATTTTAAGGAAGAAGCAGCATTGACATGTTAAATAGTTTTATATCATATACTTCGGGATGGTATTTGGGATAGCTTTTTTTTGTTAAATAATACATAAAATGTGGACTCTAGCTCAGGAAGCAAATTGGGAAGAACTAAAATATGTTATCTCGAATGGTGATGGTGTTGACTGCCGAGAGGCATTAATAAAAATCAAAGATGCAGTTATTGGTAGCAACAAACAAAAAGGTGCACTCATCTCGCATGACTTGGTGCCTGTCATACTCAACACTTGCATCGACCAAGATCAAAGCCCAGATCGGAAAATGGATGCACTGGTCATATTAGGTAAAATGAAACTGTTTCCAAATTAATTTGTGAAAATGCGAAAAAACTTTGTGTGCGTTTATTTGAAATTTTACTTTGTATGTATATATGTGTAGAAAATTCGCAAATTACAGATGGCCCGTCTATACTTAGTAAATTGATACGGTTAGAAGTCGTAACTGAGTAATTTGCGTATTATTAAGAAGATATACATAGATATCTTTACTAAAATTCGTAACTTCTCAACCTCGAAGAGATTTACAGTTTTAAATATATTTTTAAAATTATAATTCATCAAGAACCAAATGAATTAGCCATATAGATTAAACAACTTCTGTTAGACAAATTAGTTTTTTGTTTTTGTTAATAACATATAACTGCATATCACGAGTGTCATTTTTGTAAAATTTATCGCACACAGTAAATTTATACATCATACCTTTTTTTCTCTGTAGGTTCATTGGCGAAAGGATCGGAAGAACAAGTTGAGCTGCTAGTGAAACAATATAATGTCGTACCATATTTGTTAAAAGAAATTGTTTCAAAGAATAATAGTAAAAAAGGCGTTGAAACGTGTCTCAGCACATTGCGGTCAATATTTGAACATCCATGCGCTCCCAAAGAAAACTTTCTGGCCAACACGGATGTTTTGAAACATTTTTTGCGTAAGTGAAATCTAAAAATACATATGCATATTATATATTTCTATTGATTTATGTGTTTTTAGGTCTTGCTTCTGCGGGTAGCTCATTAAAAACACAAATATGCATAACCAGCATACTTGAGTCGGTGTGTCAGACAAACGAGGATCAACTGCGACTTCTGCATGCCGGCACATTGCATATATTATCTCGCATGATTTGCTATGACAACGAAGATATACAAATACCGGCGCTACGTTGTTTATCCTGCATGTGCTATTCAAATCGATCGGTCGCTGACAATATTTGTGTTATAAGGTTAGTTATCATAAACAAGGCCGTAGAGTGAAGACCGAGGGGGGGATGATTGTAGTGAATTGTTATAGAAACAAATCTGTAGAACACCGGGCCGCATTGAGAACTACGTGTCTGGGAGGAATTGTTCTCGATCTTCTCTCGCTTTTTCAGTTCTCATAATCACTTATAAATGTCTCTAATATTAAAACTTTTAACATATTTTTATTTTCTTTAATATTGCAGTTTTCAAGGCAGATCTCTGCCAGACATACTCAATTCTCTAACTTCGAGACTATTTTCTGCTGAAATACAGTTAACCGCGGCCAGATGCTTAACCTATATTTACAGGTCGGGTACTCTGCCCTCAACGGATAATAGAATATCGCAAAAAGCGCTTCCCACCTTAGCCCGCTTATGTGCCGAAAGTTTTGATCACTCTATTATAGCGTCTGCTTCGGAAACGCTAGCCTATCTTATAGAGGTGCGTACGAAATTATTACTACTACTATATACTCAATAAATATTTGATTTTTTTTAGATTGATTCGGAACTGCAACGCACCGCCGCAATTACGAATCACTTGCTGAAATCGCTATCCGATTTATTGCAAAGTCAAGACCCTGCAGTCAAACAAGCGGCGCTCTGTTGTTTTGCATCTTTAGGAGCGAATGATGAGGCAATCAGAAAGCGTTTAATGGACACATATGGTCTGATAAATGCTATATTAAATGGATTAAAAGATTCCAACTCACAGGTGGGTTGCATACATTTTCTGTTTAAAGTTTACAATGAGTTGTTCTACATTTTGTCTTCTTTTTTTGTAAAAGGTAAAATTGTCTGCCATTAGATGTCTACACTCGCTGTCGAGATCTGTGCAACAGTTACGCACCACATTTCAGGTATAAAAATCTATTTCGTATACAGACATTATAAATGTAAAAACTAAATATTTACAGGACTACACAATTTGGGAACCACTGATGGGTATATTTGCAACCGAAACTTCTATTGAATTCCTGGTTGCTGTTACTTCAACCATTTGCAATCTACTTTTGGAATTTTCACCATCCAAGGAACCCATAATTAATGCCGGCATTATTGAGAGATTGTGCCAATATACTATGCATACGGATCCCTCCCTAAGATTAAATAGCATATGGGCTTTAATGAATATGTCATTTCAGTCCGAAATGTATGTGAAAACTGATATTATTAATACGCTTGGTACCAAGCGTATATTGGAGTTGGTGAACGATACCGATACCAGGATTGTGATGAAAACATTAGGGCTGTTAAGAAATTTATTGAGTAAAACTCATCATATTGAAATAATTATGAGAGCGTATTCATGTGAAGTGCTCGAAGCTATTAATAAGTTACTAGAATCCGATCATTCGTCGGAAGTTAAAGAACAAGCGTTCTGTATTATTGGCAATATTGCAGCTGAAGATGAGAATGGTGATTACATTATAATGGATAATAAAATCATGGCTCACTTGGCTGCCTTTCTGGTACGTTATTTACATAAATTTATAAAAAATTTAAAATTGTTAATTATATATTTTTTTTTAGTTCCATCCTGATATGAAACTTCAAGCGGGCGCACTTTTTGCTATCTACAATCTCGTACATCGGAAGGATTCATGGTCAATGGAAAAGTATTCTCGACTAAGTGAATCGAATATCATTAAGAATGTTAATGAATTAAATAAGAAAACTACTCGGAACAAAGCACAATGTGAAGATTATATAAGCCGAACTTTAAAGCAAATTGTTATACAATGTAAACATTTCTACCCGGAGATTTTACAGTAATTATTAAAAAAATATATACACATAATAATGTACATATGATTAATACTATTATAATTACAATAGTTTTATGTTTTCAAACAGTTTTTCTTGTTGAAATATACTGTAGCGTTTTGAACGTAAGTGGTTTTGATAATTAAAATCATAAAAGTATGAGAAAATTTATATTATGGTATTTAATACTGTTCTTCAATCAAATCGAATAAACTTGTACCGGGAGTCAAAATTATTATTTTTTTTATCGTTTGCTATTGGCTGCAGCTTTAGGTGTCAAAGTTGTTGACAATTGAGATGCCTAAGTCAATTATTAAAACAAAGTCATTATGTATGTATTATTTAATATTTTTTGTAAAGATACAAAGTAAAACAAGAAAAAACGGTAATTTCGGTTGCACCGAAACTATAATACCCTTCACAAATACAACAGATTCCACAAAACAACTTTATTTTTATCGGCAGTACGTGAGCTACATATATGTTATAATTGTCCGATCTGAAAAATGTATTTCAAGATTATAGCGTTGACTCAAGTAATATTCTTTGCAAAATTTCGTGGAGGTATCTTCTCAAATAAATTAGTTGTCTATACATCAGCATGTATTTGATCATTTAGCTTGTATGATAAGATATTTCAAAAACTGTGGAACAAGTTCGCGTATATACAGACAGACGGACTAAATCGACCCAGCTCATCGTGCTGATCATTTATATACAAATTTTATAGGGTCTACAATGATTCCTTCTGGAGCAAACTTAAAAAAAAAATACCCTGATTAGGGTATAAAAATTGTTTTGAAAAGCACCCAACACAGAGAAAACAACAATTCAAAACAAAACAGAAATCATATGTTCCGGTTGGCATTTGGGAGAAATCAAAACACTTTGAGATGTGCAAAAAGCAGCACATTTTCTACATCGACTAAAAAATGAATATGCGTGTTCTAATGCTAGAGATGGAAGAAATACAACGATATTTGGACAGATGAGCGGGATTAATATATCGTTAATTTATATAATTAAATTTAAAAATTAACTCAACATAATACAACTTTTGTACAAAAATTGCTTTCAACCGAATTTAAAAAACATTTACAACTTTCGTAGGCACAACTATTTAATATATTACTATTAAATGGGAATAAGTAGGATAAGTTCTTATTTGAAAATATCACCAACAATAATACTCCCTGTGGTAGCATTCATATTAAACATAACAAATTGTTCTAATACAATCTGATTATTTTTCCAATATTTAATTTTCTGGACTCTTATTTATAGCTCGACTTTTGTACAATTTAATTTCTCATTCCTAATTCTTGGTCATAGCTGTCATTTCCATTATGAAATCGTGATTTCTGGTAAACAAAAGGTTTTGCTTACCTGAATTTCTAATAACAGTGCACTAAATACAAATTATGTTGAACGAATTAATATCGTGGGTTTTAAATACATATCTTGGAAAATATTTGGAAGACTTTAATCCACAGCAGTTGTCAGTGGCGCTGCTTTCAGGTGCGTTAACTAAAACTCGTGTACTCTACATTTTATGAAAATTGTGTTGCAGTTATGTTTCCTTGACTGAAAAAAAATGTGTGCATAAATGTTCAACGTTACCGCAACTGTTAATATTAAAATTGCTAAATAAATATATTTATTATAAATATATTCTTAAATTATGTGGCTTATCGTTGATTTACATGAATCAATGAAAAAGTTAAAAAAAAAAATAAAAATAAAAATAGGAAGAAACCGTCGTCTGTAATGCAATTTTGCATACATTCAATTGCGCTTTTTAATTATTCACCTATGCCGGGCCTTGTTTTATGTCGCAATTAAAATAAATTCGTCATATAGCAAGTAAGCATGTAAGGTGTTGAATACGATGTTCAAAGATTTCCACAAATAAAAATGTTAAGCGAATTGAATCTACACATATACCTTTGAACTTTTGCACGCAAGCGTGAATATTTAAATATTCAGTAGAACTTTTGTGAAACAATGCCCATTTAGTTTAGTGTTAGTTTCCGTTTATATGTAGGTATTACCCATAATTTAGTATTTGTTTGTATGCAGCATATACCTTTATGTTTATTGTCATAGATAAGATAGCAATGAGTATAGTTATAAATATTTTTTTTTTCACAATTACCTCTGTAACGCATACCTAATAATAATTATTATTTAACTTTTTTTCCTGCTCAGGCGAAGTCGAATTAGAGAATGTTCCAATCAGAAAAGATGCACTGCGATCATTCGGCATACCCGTGCAAGCGCACTCGGGTAACATTGGCAAGATAAAACTGCAAATACCAGTGCGTCAGTTTCGTACTGCGCCATGGTGTATAATTATCGAGCGTATTTATGGAGTGTTCGGGCCAAAAGATATCGACGATTGGGATGATGACAAGGAGAAGAATGCCGAGTATGAATTTAAAGTTGCAGAACTAGATGCCAAAGAAGCCAAGTGGCGCGTTGAGAATGGCTATCAAATTGATAGCTACTACTCAAATTCCTATACAAGTTGGCTTAATTATGGCACCACACTGGCCACGAATATTCTAGAGAACCTGGAGCTGAAAATCAACGATGTGCACATACGTTACGAAGACGCCATAACTGTGAAGGGTATACATTTTGCTGCCGGCATTAAAATTAACTCATTAACTGTGCAAAGTTGCGACAGCAGTTGGCAAGCGCGTTCGAATGCACCTAACGATCAAAACATATCATATAAACTGATCGAACTAAAGGATTTATCTATATACTGGGATCGTCTGACGGAGGCCAATCAATGTTCACACTTACTATCCAAAGAATTACTAGAACGCATGAATGAGTTGTGCGATGCCAACAAACACAATTATATATTGCAGCCAATAAGTGCGCATGCACATTTCAAACGGGAGTGCTGCAAGCAGGCCATACGGTCCAAATCCAAACCGCGTTTAAATTGCGAATTTCAAGTGCAGGAAGTGAAAGTCGCTGTCAGTGACGTATGTATTAAATCATATTCATAAATATATTTCAATAAGCTTTAAATATAAAATAATATATGTTATAGCTGCAATACAAGCAAATAGTTGATTGCGTTTATGGCCTACGGCAAATTAATCGCACACGTACTTACAAATTGATGCGTCCATCTTGCGAAGTTTTCGAAAACGCTACGCTATGGTGGAAATATGCCGCCAAATGTCATGGTTTTATACATCACAGTAATGAAACTAAATGGACTAAACTAAGAGAAAACTTGCGTTATATGCGTATTTACAAGCGGCTGCTAATAAATCCAAATGATAATATTACCGCCGAAGAGCGGGATTTCAAAGCGCATATGGAAAAGTCAAGAGAATTACACGAATTACATAATCTACGTACTGTTTGCCGCACAAATGTTTTTACAAATGATGTAAATTTAAAAGCGAATTCCATAAATCACGGCAAAAGCATGTTGTTCCATTGGTTTCCCAACTGGTGGGGTTGGTATGGCAATACAGAGAGCAGCGTTGTGGCAGCACAAGATGAGGCATATAAAAATATTGAAGACGATATACTTAACGCATTGGAGGATACGATGGAGAATGATCCATTCTCCAAACGCGATATGATTTTCGGTTATTTTAGCTTTATATTAGTTGACGGACAATTAATTGTGAGTACTGAAGATGTTGCTACCGGACGGACGGCGGTTAATTTCGAAATGGACTTTCAAAATTTGATTTCGTTCATTGAAATGAAGCCGAAATTTAGCGCCTATGTAATTGGCATATCGTTGGGTTCAGTGTGTCTAAAGGATAAATTAACCAAAAATACGGAATTTCCATTTTTGGTCAAGCCACAATTCGATGAACTGCCTACCAAGCCAACAGCGCCCAGCACCGGTTACCAGTTGGTTGATTTCAAACGCTTCTTCACCAAAGAACAGCATGTGGACTCAGCGCCAGAGCCCTGGTTTCAATTGCGCTATGAAAAAGGTCCACCGGATATACAGTCGGATATGCGTTTGGTTATAAAATCGCGCAGTTTAGATATTGTTTATAATAAGCATGCTTTTGATTGTTTAAAGTCATTCTTTGTGAAGCCCGTCAACGAAGTGTATTTGCAGTATAAGTTTGCTAAAAGCAGTCAAAACCGTTTAAAGTTCCTACAAAACTGGCAGCAATATTTAGTAGGCAATAAGGTAAGCACACGTCTTTTTATACCCTGAACAGTGTATATTAAGTTTCCCATGAAGTTTGTAGCATCAAGAAAGAAAGGTTTGTAGCATCAAGAAGGTTGGAGACCCCAGAAAAAATATTTATATAAATGATCAGCGTGACCAGCTGAGTCGATTAAGACATGTCCGTCTGTATAAAAGTGAACTAGTACCTCAATTTTTGAGATATCGATCAGAAATTTTGTATACGTCGTTTTGTCTCCAAGAAGCTGCTCATTAGTACCGTTATCGGACGACTATATCATATAGCTGCCATACAAACTGACTGACAAAAATCAAGTTCTTGTACAGAAACTTTTTATTTGTAAAGGGTATTATAGCTTCGGTGCAACCAAAGTCAACGTTTTTTTCTTGTAATATTTACAATAGTTTATAATTAATTTACATCGCTTTAGGATTTTCGTACAACCTGGTCGCTAGAGATCGACATTTCTGCACCGCGTATTATATTTGCTGATAATCATTTGGAGAAAAACACCGGTGTGGTTGTTGTCGATTTTGGACGCTTTCAAATGCTTAAAAATGAATGCCACAAAAAAGAGCCACTAGCCGCACGTGACAGTACCGCTGCCAGTGAGACTACCTCAAAGTTGGGCAAAGAGAGTGAAGATGAAGATTTTATGACGCCTTGTTCGACACCACCAGGCTCGGAAATTAGCCTGGTTGAGTCGCCTACGTTACAACAGAATTCCGTGGCGGTTGTCAATACCGATACCGGTTTGGAGAGTGCCTTTCATAAGAAAATCTACGATAAATACTTTATAAATCTAACTGATATGCAAGTAATTGTTTGCAAAAATCGCGACCGTAATCACGCTTGCACAAAGCACTCATCGAATTTTCATTTACTTGAAAAATTTAGCATCTCGATAGAGTTGGAACGACGCGTTATCTATACCACAGATCCCGACTACCCATCGTTAACCCTATACGGCACACTACCAAAGATTGTTGCACATGTTAATGAGCAGAAATTGAATGAATTTTTTAAGATACTCTATCCCATAATC